CCATAATCACTTCATCCGCTCGCTGCTTTCACGCCTCAATGGCCGAGCCTGCCGAATACCATGGCGGCCTCGTCGCCTTCGAGGGCCCTCACGACCTCGTCTCGACACAGCTCCGCCTCCTACCTACATCATCGCAAATTGCTATTCTACCCAGCGTCAAGGAATTTCTCGAGCCTGAGAGCCCCGATGAGCCCTTTGAAGCGCGCAAGTTTGTCAGGCGAGTTCACAATGCTGTCGCCAAGAGAAGAGACACAGCTCTGGCTTTCTTGAAGGATTCGACTCCCAAGCGGAAGAGGCTGGTCTTCATGAATGGAGGTACGCCCAGTGCGCAGACTGTCTGCATCAGAGCCATCTCTCGGAACGTGACAGAGGGGGATATCACCAAAGCCGAAGCCATCTTCAACGACCTTGTCAAGGGTGGAGTCGCCGGTCTCGACAATTCCGCCAACTCAAGCGGCTCATTCCTTGATACCTCAGAGGAAATAAGCGAGGACCCCATCACCAGAGCTATGCGCGCTGCCGATGCTCTCGACCGGGAAACTGCAAACTTACAGCCTTCCAGCGACATCGATCTCACCGCTCCTACTGGGCGTCCGCGCCCGAGAAGCATGAGTCTACCCATGTACAGCTTCGCCGATACCTTTGGTGATATGGCATCGTTTTACGTCTTCGGTGGTCAGTTCAGTGAAGAACATATCAAGGAGGAGAGACAAGCCGAAGCTGCGGCTCAGCACCATGGCCCGACACCCATACTCGCCATCACGAATTTTGACGAGCTCGAGAGAGTCTCCGGCGAAGGCTTCGATGGTGACGGCAAACCCATTGTACCCGCTCCACCTCGGTCTCCAAGCTGTGTTGGCGAGGCATATGAGCGTGATGATGTATTCTCGTCCTCTTCACCTAACGCTCCTGGTCTCCTCGACGTGGCATCTCCCAGATCCGACGTCTTCAGCATCCGATCGACAGAGCCGATATACATTGAACAAGCATCACTCGTTCGTATGAAATCATCCGCCTCTTCCAGGACTTTGAAGCGATCTCAGTCGATCAGCCATCTGCACCGGAGCAACTCACGCTATAGGGACACACTCATGCGGCTCAAGCCTAAGGAGCAGACTCCTGCTGAGAAATCGTCCCTGGAGAAGACTTTCGCTGAGAGTCTGAGACTTTCCGCTGAAAAGACTGCCGCAGAAAAGGTTGCTGAGGGCCGTCCTGTGTCGGTAGTGGAACTCATTGAAGACGCCGAGAAACGCGAAAGCAGCGCCAAGCGTATTGAAGGCCCAAAGACAATCTACGTCAAAGCAGCCCGACCAACGAAGGGAGTAAACAAGGCATTGCCTCCCCCTCCACCTTCCGAGAAGAGACTCCGCAAACGCAAGCATGCAAAGTCCAGGTCGAAGTATGTCGACAGAGGAACCGACGCCGAAGATGTCGAACTGCATGAGACGCCATTCCGTCCCGTGTTACCATTCTATGAGGATCTTGTTATTCACTTCAAAGACGACAGCCCAGACCCAATCCTTGAATACATGATCAAGGCATTCAGAGAAGGTGTTTATCCAGTTGTACTGCCTTCTTCCGCCTCTTCCGGCACATCTACCGCCGATGGCGACAGATCGGCTCCGCAGACTCCAACATGGCAACCGGCTGAGCCTGAAGTCACCCAGTTCACGTCCACGACGAAGGTCAGCACAGAAGAGTACGACCCCTTCTCCTACCAGTGTCCCACTTACACCGCGAAGTCAGTCCAGCCTATCACCCGGACTATGATAAGATCAGCTCTGCCAACACCTGCGCATACACCTCCGCCCACGGTTTCCGAGTCGGAGGATAAGTTCCACGACTTCAACGCCGTGCACGGCCAGACGGCTGTAGCGATGCAGAACTCCCTTAGATCAGTGCTGAACATCTACTTCCCACCCAAGGGAAGGGGTTTCTCTCAATTCAACTTCCCGTTGCTCCCCGAGATGGACGCACTGTGGAAGCCGATATTCCGGGACGTTGAGCCTGGTGGAAGCCCAAGGAAAGACAATCGCCGGATAGACCAGATCCTTGCCATAGGTGCGCAACGTGGCGTCAAGAAAACGTTCGTCTCTGGAGTGACTAGCCAGCTTGAGAAATTGGGCACAAAGTCGAGCGGTGTCTCGAGGACTGGCAGGCTGGATTTCCGGTAAGTTGTTTGCTCTGTGTGATCCTTTTGTCAGTTGACTAATAGAATTTCTCAGATATCTCATCGCAAACGCGATGCAGTCCTTCACTGCACAGCCGCTGGCCAACCAGACTCAAGACAACCCCTTCACCAACTCATATCTTCTGGCGACGCTTATCATTCCTCATCTCGAGACTTTCTTCGCTGCGCACTCTGAAGTCCGCTTTCTGCTTCTCGACTACCCCCCGGATCATCTCGCTACCATCCTCGCTTTGCAAAAGTTGGTCGGTGTCGACTTGATGAAAGTTGCCCAGGTCATCGATGCTCAGGCCAAGGAACCACTTCCCTTCACTCACGTTCGAGGTAGCTCCTTCGGGCGGGTATCTACTGTGAGTGACTTGGCCTCGAGCTCGAGCTCACTGCAATCCAAGGGGTCGAGGTCTGCCGCATCGACATCCTCGCGAGATGGACTGGCGGTTTTCAAGGCCAACCTTCTTCTCACATCCACCGCAACCGAGGCGGAAGTTGCGACTTTCGTTTCCACCATCTGGAAGATCCTGATCAACATCTCCAAGTTCTACTTACCTGAAGAAGGCAAGAAGCTTGAGGAGAGTAGTGTCAAGAGTAAGCGACAATCTGGCAACTTCTCGGCATTTTCTCAGGCTTCAATGAGCCCTCCGATGTCTCCGCCATCCTCCAGTGGCCGCAAGGCCACGAACAGGGCATCAGGCTCCATCAGGACTTCAGCTCGACCTTCTTCCATTGCAGAGACAATCATGAGTCGGCGATTCAAGTCCCGACGAGGCGACAGGAAGACCGTCGGCGATGGCGCATCCATCTTGACCGTCGATATGGACTACGAGAGCGATCTAGACCTCGAGGAAAGACGTTTGATGCCCATGTTCCTGAAGAAGAACCAGGTCCGGAAGGGAAACAGCCGCAAGGCTTTGAAGTTTCTCGGCCTGGCTTGATAAGTCACGCCGTGACTTTGTACCGTTACTTGCATTTGTAGGGCCCAAATGGCTTAGCCCTGCATCTTTTCTTTTCTCTTTAGCAATGACCTGTCACGAGGTTTCATGCTTAGTCTCAATACCATGGCATTAGCAGAAGGCTTTAGGGGAGTTGTATCATGTTAGAAGAGCCACATCATGTTTAAGGGGGGGAGAGGGCCGAAAGATGGATGGATACTTGGCTGCTTGGTCTTAGGACCGATGATCTTATTCGTTGCTCTTATCATCAGCTCGGACCGCGTCATCTGCGCGATCTTTCGATTCAAGTCGTGGTCGGACAATACCCAGGGATATATCTCCCATAGATACGAAATGAAAACATTCAGAGCGCCTGCATCCTTTCTTCTCGGCCGTGATGGTAGTTATCAAAGGACTGAAGTATGTCGTACATTCCGAACAGACCAAGCGTATAAAGGTCAATGCTTCGATTGATACTGGCGCGCCCAACAAGCCAGACTTAACATCGGAGCCATCTGTGTCGTCGCCGCAAGTCAGACCATTGACAAAATACATATTCACGATCGTCCATAATCGCGCTGGCAAAGCCACAACCAGAATAAACACTATCGAATCCGGTCTTCTCGAGCCGTCGCAAGCCCCTACCGTCCCTGCCCCGTCGTCGTTGCGCACTTGGACACAGATTCATCTAGGCCTTATCGTCTTTCAGAGTGTCAAATGAACAAAGTCGCTGGAAATCACTAGGTATCTCAACCGCTACTCCAAAGCCGTCTCCGTCGCCACAATGCAGAGGGATTGGGATGTGGCTAAGCAGACAGTGGTCCATGTCATGGTCGTTGGGCTTATCGGGAACAGGGTGGATAGCAGAGTCATTCCGGGCGCATGTGACCGCGCGGGGGTCATGTGCGTTCCCACCCCTTTTCCCCGTGGGATGTTTTGGGGTAGAACTATTACCTACACTACGTTATCTAGGCTCCTAGGCAAAGGAAGCAGAGGAACCCATCTCCCACGTGAGGCGGACCCGATGACCGGGCCATCCGAAACCCCCGTATCCGCCGCACGTCATACTTCTGGCTCGGCTTGCAAACGCTCTGTGGCAGTGGCGGTGATTATAACTGAGTTGGCAAACGCCTGAAGTGATTCAGGCTGAGACCTCACGCGGAACGTCGTACACGAAATGGTAACAAACGGAATCATCACCCTCGGTTGCCTTAGTATCAAGAAGGAAAACGTCACTTGCCCATTACTTCGACCCTATCTACCAGAAAAGCAGCAGCCGCCAAGGAGGGGAAACTAAAAAGAGAAGACATGTAGTTGGGGACAAACGCGCAGACACCCATACGTACGGCCCGCTGCGTTGCCTATGTGCTCGCCCCCTCGCCAATCAAGCTTCATTGCAAAGTACACGGTGCGCCAGCAAAACAAAGCCTACGCATGTAACACACGTCGGGATAGCCTCTTTGTCCCCTCTGCCCCCAGTGGTATCCCTAGAGGTCTCCCACCGAACGCCCCAGAGCCTGGCTTCTGAATCGTCGTTAGGCACCGGGGGTCCTGTCGTTTGCCGTGAACAACGCCATGGGTCCAGTTACAGAGGTATCTTGTGTCGATTGTGTGTGTGTGCAGTGCGGAGAAGGAGCTGGGACGAACCAAATCAACACTCATCTATGCGTAGAAGTATGGAAAGCAGCCTTTGCGCGGAAGGAGAGAAAAGCGAACGAAACAGCATCGTCCGAGCCAAATGTGATCCCTACACCGTCATGAGCTGTGCATTCCCTTCCTCGCCCATTCTGCCCAGCTGTATCCCCTCCGCCGAGAAAAATCCGTAAAATGCCATAGAACACAGGTAAGGAAAGCGGGCTTCGTAGAAATCAGGGACGATACGTTTAGCAGCAGCCACCTCCCGAGTTCGAGGAGACGCCGTGGCCGGGGCCGACTTGTACGGAGGGTTTCGTGTTGTTCGCGGTCGTGCTGCCCATGCGCTCCTTGATCTGGCGGGCCATGGTCAAGAAAGCCTGCTCGACGTTGCTGGCGTTCTTTGCAGAGGTTTCGAGGAAGGGGATGCCCAAGCTGTCGGCGAATTCCTGTTGGCAGGTTAGCAAACAAATGGTCATAACAAAGAACTTCACAGTCCGGGTGGGAGTTGTAAAGCAATGTGGCGCTTCAACAGCCGGCGGGGGTTATCTGACCTTGGCGACGGTGTACTCGACAACCTTCTTGTCGGACATATCGCTCTTGTTGCCGACAAGCAGCTTGTTGACGCCCTCGGTGGCGTATCTGTCAATCTCCTGAAGCCATTGCTTGACGTTGTTGAAGGAGTCCATGTCGGTGACATCGTAGACGACGCAGATGCCGTGGGCACCACGGTAGTAGGAGGAAGTGATGGTGCGGAAACGCTCCTGGCCGGCAGTATCCCACTACGAAGGAGACAAAGATGTCAGCATTTGCGACAGCCTCATTTCCTCGAAAATGATCGCCGCTTGGATCAACTCACGATTTGCAGCTTCACCGTCTTTCCATCGAGCTCTATCGTGCGGATTTTCTAAGTTTTATCGTCAGCAGCCGATCGGTCGGCGTTGGCAGAGCGGGAGTTTTCATACAAAGTCGACACCGATGGTGGAGATGTAGGACTCGGTGTAGGTGTCGTCGGCGAATCGCAACAGAAGGCAAGACTTTCCAACACCGGAATCACCGATGAGGAGAAGCTTGAAGAGGTAGTCGTACCTGCCGTCGGGTCAGTATCGGTGTCGAACCTAAATCACAGCGACTGGTTTCGCAATTTTCGCGACAACGCAGCGAAAAAAATATCGAAGAGGCGATATCGATGAGGGGGTAGGCTCTGTGAGAGAGAACAAGGTCAGCATAGCGGCGACTTCCGAGGGATTCCTCGTTTCGCAAGGAGGCGGTTGAGGCAACGTACTACTCGGGGTTCATTGTGAATAGCGGGGGGTCTGATGAAGGCTGGTAAGGGTCGAGAGATTCGGCGGATGTGGGCGCGCTTGGCGATTATATGGGCGTTGTGAAGGTGTTGGGAGGTTGATGGATTTCGGTGGTGTCGTGATGAGGTTCCAGGTTGTGAAAGCAACAAAGCCAGAGTCAGGACAGGTCAAGTGAGGTGGTAGGAGTCGGACGGAGTAAATGCAGGCTGCTGCTACGTCAAGGCTTCTAGCGCGGTGTATAGAGTACCAGTCGGGTGCCAGTCTCTGATTAGTGCTCGGTGTCCTGTGTGTCCAGTGTGTCCAGTGCGGTGTCCAGTGGGTTACCGCCTGGCGGAAGGAACAAAAGGACCCACGTTGACCTGAGCAGTCAGATGTCACTGACGAATGAAACCCCTTGGAGAGGCTTGAAAGACACGGGATCAAGCACGTGATGCATCTTTTTCAGTGTTCTGGACCGGCTTGAGTGGGGCGGTTCAGACACCTTTGTGACCTTGGAGACGGGAGGCAGGCACAGGCAAAGCGGGCAGGGACGACAGGCTGAGCCTGTCCTTATCCAGTGGTGTCCTCCAGGTGTCTGCGCCTCCACACTTCTGGGACATCGGATTTCGGATGCAGTACGTAAGCAGGTACCGGGGTCCGTCCTCGTTCCTGCAGTCCTTAATATCAGGGGGCCAAGTGCTATTCGTCTCCCATGAAACGCCTCCGCCAGTAGCTGCAACCTGCTGCGGAAGTTTCCTTTGAAATGTCGGGTGGTATCTGCTTTGGGGGCTCTTTCGAGGTTGGAAAGCTTGTGTCGTTTCTATCTATCAATCTCGGGTCTAACATCTCCCAATACCCTTGCTCTTCATGAGGCATTACCACACAAAGCAAGTCTTGAACAACACGGAGATCTCCAGAGACCTTCACAGGTAATCCTTCATCGGATTGGAGAGGCCGTTCGTGCCAAGACTCCACATTCTGCGGTTCATGTGGAGCTCCCCAAGTCTTGAACCTCACTCGTCCCGCATACCTAGTACTCACCTACACATGCAACCCTTGGCTTGCTATTCATCCACCTCTGATATCTGACAAGGTTGATGATGGTAAGAGTAGGAACACACAAAGGTAGCACTGCTAACCTCAAAGATGATAAATCCTTTTGCTCTTCCTCCTCATGAAACTTAGTTTCCGTTTACAAAGTATGAGTCCCGACTGCTATTGACTTATCACTTCTCACTACTCTCTGCTTCACCTTTGCAAGATGCCGATGGCTATGTTGTCGTGGAGTGGCCCTGAGCGTCGAATAGTAATGACTAGTAGGCATCATTGAGTGACGAATCCATCTCTGCGGTGGTATGGTCGTCGATTTTGACAGCCGGTCAGTCAGTCTTCATCCACAATTGAGACTGCGCATGATCTCAAAATCTGTGAGGCAGCTGCGACTTCAGTCGTCATCGGTCTCCTTTTTTGTCACAGCTTTCAGTCCAGCCATGGTCACCGAAAACTCGACGGCGCCATCCAGACCCTGTCCCGTAGCTTTCGCGTGAGGGGCAAAGACCACTTTCATCCATCGTCGCCAATTCTTGAGCGCCGGCATGCCCCGATCATCGGCTTCATCTTCTATGTGCCGGTGCACCCCATACACGGGCTTCTTGAAAAGCGCGATGCGACACGCAATCTGCGTTGACCATACAAGACCTAGACTGGGCGTCTTGAGTCCGTAGTCGGCTAACGGATCGTCGCCCCATCCCGTAAACCACCGTTGCTGGTGGTCAAATGCGAGCGCGGGAGGTGCAGGCGGGCCAAAGTCATCCAGGCCGGGAGGTTCAGGCATGCTAGAACGAACATGCTCAGCTATGGACGATGTGGGCTCGACCGCCGACGGAGAGAAAGCTCTCGGCCCTCTGCTCCGTGATGCTAGTGGACTTTCTTGCGTGAAGCTTGGAGCAGCAGCCGTAGGCGCCGCCCTAGGGGTTGCCATCGGCGCAAAAGGACTGGAGAAGCGATCGGCGACTTGGTTGGCGACAACAACAGCCAAGTTGTATTTTTGGGCCAGCTCTCTAAGCAAAGCTCCAAGTCGCGTGAGCTCGTTGCTGCGAGCTCCCATGTTTGACCCATGATTGCCAAGAGCCCCCCGCTCAAATTCGGCTCGATAATTAGAGGCGACGGAGTCCAGAACGATGAGTCCAGTGTTCCGTCTCTCAACCTCTACGGGGACGTGAAATTGGAGAATGTGCTCTTGCGACTCAAGGTCGGGTGTCGATGTGCTGAGGATACCGTCCAGAGACGGTTTGTCTTCCGGTGAGAGGTCGGCAAACCGCGGGTTAGATGACAGTATTTGCGACAGGCGTTTGGTGGACAACTGAGCCTCCGTTGTGATGTATATGGCCGGCCGCCCCAAGCCGTACGGCGGCGGTAATTGAACAGCCAGTAACAAGGATAGCAGAAATTGCGTTTTTCCAGCGCCACTTTCGCCCGTGATCTCGGTCACGTAGCCGGCTGGAATTCCTCCCCCCAAAGCTCGGTCAAGAGAATCGTCTAATGTGCTGATGGTTGACCATTGATTCTCGAGGTCCGTCAGAGAGCGCTTGAGAAACCGGCTGGCATTTGGCGGCTCGTTGGCAGAGCTGAAGTCGCGGTGAAGGGCATCGACGACGGCGGCGCAAAGTCTTTTGATGTCAAGCAAGGGCAGCTGAGTACGCTTTCCTATGTCAACGACATCCTGAGTCAGTAAATCTGTAACGGAAAGCTGATGGCGTTCCAGAGTTTGCAATAGTGCAGCAAACTGCCTAACAGGGAAGTCAGGTATCAGTTGAAGCAGGTCGGACATGGCACGTGAAGGGAGTCTGGCGTCATGAATTGTTGAATGGCCTCTGTATGCTCTCCAAAGTCTTTAGGTCCCGATATGTTCTGTGATGTTGGTGTATTCAGATGGCAAGGCCAAGTAGATGAGATGGGATGTGAACAAGAGTCGTCTCAAGAGCTTGGATGCCGTGATGAGGGGTTCAGCCAGTCGCAGTCAACAGAGATGAAATGTTCGTAGTATCTGGTCGCCAAGGAAGCTTCGGTGCCCCTTATCGCAGCGTGTCGATTGAGCGAAATGGGAAGTTGTGGCCAGGATTTGTCTTGCAAACAGGCGTGGATTCACCTACTCGTGTATGATACTGATGCACGCTATCATCTAGGCAGGGTCAATGGAGAGGTTGATGATTCTTCGGCTACCTAGTCGTGAAAATCGCTGATTATGTCATCACACCCACTGGCTGGCTGAGGTCGGCTAGCACTGGCACATACATACATTACCTTAGGTAAAACACCTAGCCAAAACAGCCAGTCTCTTTTTGCTACATGTACGCCTTATAAAATTGTCCTGATCGTACAACTGCCCGACCTTTTTTTCCTTTTGCCTTTTTCCGAGTATATGATGCAGGCGGGCTATGCTTGCTCTCACGCTCCCGAAGCCTTGTTGTTAACGTCTGTCGCGGGGTTGACGGGATAGTACCCTTACCTATAGGTAGTCCTGCTTGGGCATTGGCGTAGACCTCTTACATGGTACTCGCCGTCGTTGGCGACCGGGCAGCGCGCAAGCAGAAGTCGTGTACGATAAGACGCGTCCCTGGATGGCCCGGGTTCGGTACTAGGTCGGCCAAGATTACCAGGTAGAGGAGACCAAATCCCCTCTCTTCTTCGAGCGGAAATAAAAACAGAAGATGATTCTTCTTCGCCACTCTCGGCCCACGATTCCCTTCGTGGCCCTCGGCCACACCCATCCTGATCCTGGGATTTCTGACACCAACGCTACCGGCCTATTCCATTGAGGCATTAGTACATCTCCGCGACTTCTTTGGCAAAGGCCCAGTAGCATTGAGTTGATTGTAAAATTATCTCGATGGGCCATGACCTCTCAGTAGGTCTTTTTTGATTGTGATACTACCTCCACGGGGATTCGAACCCGTTCCTTGGTACCCATCATCTTGATCACGCAGGACAACGATATCAGGGCCGTCAGCTGCCGAAGCGCAAACGCCCAAGATGCTTTTAGACCGAAGTCTAAGGCTTTTGCCCATGGAAAAAAGGAGGCCAAATGGAAGGGGCTCTTGCTGCTGGTGATGGCAAGAAGGAGTCGAGGATACAACCCTAACAGTGGAGTCAGACGTATAGCGGGTCATGGTCTAAAAGCGGTTAGATCAAGAGCTGATTACCAATTATAAAGCGCTCTTGCTTTTTGTGGGAGCCACGCAGGGACATCATGCAATAGCGCACTATCTAAGTGGAAGGTGCCCTCCTTCCCTCTGCCTGCCTGCCTGCCTGCCGCAAACCTTCCACTGCCTTGATCTCACCCTGCTTCCATTTCATCCTCCTCTACTACTCCCACAACACATCCTGCACTGCAAAGTTTCACTCCCAATTTGAAAATCCCACCTACAAGCCAAAGCAATCAAAGGCAACCATCCGACAGAGAAGTAAGCATTGAACTTCTAACGCTGTTATTGACGATAACCATTCTGACATCTATCCAATAAGAATGGCCGCCCCCAGAGACAACCACTTCAACCAAGCTTTCCAAGACAGCATCTGGTCTCTTCGCTAGGGAAGAAGACTTCTGATATTGATGAACATCAATTTCGCTGTCCGTCGCGATGCAGTAGAGGCAAAGGTCCGGTCTCTGGTCCCCACGCCCGCGGCTCCTGGCGACATCGTCTTTTTCTGGCCGCCTAAACATATGCTTCGCAACGGGCGCCAAGGCACATGGGACAACTCTACGTGGGGTTCGCAACCAGGCCTGACTGCACCGCGGCACTCGAAGCACTCGGGCCCCGGTTTGACCTTTCCGGCCGAATGGTTACCGTGGAGAAATCGAAAAGAATAAGGGGTGTAAGTGTGCATCAAGCTCATTGTCTTTTATTCATGCTAAGAAATCCACAGCGTCGACCACTGCTTCAAGCCGCCGTCACCGCCGACGCTGCTGCCAATGCTGCTGCCGCCATAAACGCTTCCTCTACGGCGGCTATTAGTACACCCTGTCGCATAGACATCGACGAGATCCCAGCGCATTGGGAAGAGGATCTCACAGCTCCCAGTCCAACTCTCGCCACAGGCGCTACTCCAACGGTGTCTACTTATTATACCGACATGGTCACCGTCGAATGTGACATGGATTAACAGCCGATATATGATTCCGAATGAGCTAGTAACGAACGGGTGCCAGAAACCTCGGGCGAGAAGCCAGAACAACGACCAACGAACGGCGGGGAACCTCTGATCATTCTCAGGGGTCAAACACTTCTTTACATCCTCTCCTCTCCCCCCGGGATCAAACCCTTCTTCACTCCTCCATGGTGGGCTACCCTTATCACTACGAACTATAGGGGCCAAACCCTTCTTCACTCCCCCATGGTAGGCTACCCCTATACTCCATTATGGACTACAACCTTAGACTTCGGTCTTAAAGGTCGCTTTGGTAGCTCTGCGGAGTGTGGGTTCGATTCCCATAGCGATCATGAAAGTTTTACATACCTTCTTCTTTGATGGGTCAGACTACTGAGCCTCAGCCTAAAAGATTGCTTGGTAGCTCTGCGGAGTATGAATTGGATCTCCTAGCGATCACTAAAGAAGCAGCAGGACACATACACAGCCATCAGGTAGAGTTCTGACACTATTTGATAACATGGCTCAGAGATAACCACTCACTAGGGAGACGATTTCAGGAGACACATTGTCTCCGCCTTCAAATCTTCGGCCGCGACGTGCTCAACGAAAGCAGTGAATAGCTTGGTGTACGGTTCAAATCGACCGCCAAAAAGGACTCATGAATTTACAATATGGGGCTCTTTCCAAAGAATTCATTCGGGCAGTCGTCATTGCTGAGGAAAGACACACCTCGGCGCTGCATCTGTTCCAACACTCAAGAGCTTTGAGCAGTGTTGAGCCTAGCGAGACTCGATGTCGATAAGAGCTCGGCAGGGGACTATCAAAGGATTCATACTAACTCTTCAACGGCACCTTGTGTAGACATCCTCGAGGCACCTCTCTGACATCACTCCGTACTTCTCAACGACTTGTCTGGCCACGTCAGCCATCGAAGCTCGACCAGCCCGTCCGAATGTCCGATACTTATTCCCGATTGGCGTGAGTGTTGTCTTCGTTGTTCATCACACATTCCCTCACATGCTCTGGGAGCAGATCGAGATGGAGCGTATGTCTCGTAGAACCCATGATGTGCAGACGAGAGCCGCCAGTCATCCGCTTGGGCAAGTGGACCAAACAAGCACGGCTGGCTCCGTTATTCTGGTTGATGAAACCAGTCTTTTCCTGCGGCGAATCGATCATCTTCAATTTGACCTTCGGCTATGTCCTCGAAATTTGACTCGAAGGCGTCGGCGAAGGGATCTGCGGGCTTGTTGGATATGCCGTGGTAGGACAATCGAGTAGAGACGAGTAATGGGGATGGCAAAGCTCTGGCAGGGCAAACAACGCACACGTGAACGACGAAGACTGAGAGAAGCGAATCAGACCCTGATCTTCTCGCAATCAATCGCCAGGCTGGTGTAACTAGTACATAAAAACAACGGAAAACATTTCGTTGGGCCAAACCTCTTCTAGCTGTAGTTCCGCTACCGGATCCGATTTTTCAAAAGCCCCAGAGTTATGCAATCTTCGTCCTTACCTTACATCAGTAGCTAAGTCAGGCTGGACAGAGCATGGTATCAATTCTACGTCCAGGCCTAGCATTGTATGAACGACACCCAATCTCCAAGTTAGAATACCAATACCAGGAATGATCCCAGAGCTGAACACACATGTAATTGCCCTGCCAACCGAGCCCAACGGTCGCCAGCAAAGGCGCCCAGTCTACCGAGCAGTAGCTAAGACCATGGCTTCTCACCTCTGACAATTGGCGATTGATTGCGAGAAGATCAAGACCTAACTTAACCACCGAGTCCGAAATCAATTGAACCATGGGGCTATATTCTCATCTCAACCTGACTTAAAGAAACAAGCACAGGCCCGAGGCTGAAGCCTGATTCAGGCGGAGGTCTTGTCTAATGAGCAAGTGCGAGAGAGGACTAGTGCAGCATGCCTTCGTCTAAAGCCAGTCCACGCTGGAATAAGGGCGTCAGACTCACATGCCGGATAGCCCCCGATCAACACGCTAATAACGGGAGACCCGACTTCCAACGGCAAGGTCTGATGCTTATAGCACCCTCAGTTCCAGGAAGGATCCGATCTTCACCTTCGGCGCCCTCTTGGGTATGTCGCGAAGAAACCGGAATCCACTGGCCCATTCATTAAAGTTCGTCATGTGTTCTTCGAGAAGAACCTGGATTTAGGCAACAGTATTGCCGCAGCTTTCAGATGTACAGAGTAATACAGACTTGCACGACAGCCGCCAATACCTCATTCGAGTGTTTTCTATTTGACGGCGCTTGAAGCGAGTCTTTGTAGCTTCGAGTATGGCCACACTCCTCCGCACATAGGTTACTTCTCGGGGGTTGGATAATCTACTATTCCTCGGATGTCCAATGTTTCTTGCCCAACAACACTTTGTCCCCCGCTTCTACTTTTCTGCTAGGTACGTCTTTGTCTCCACGCTACCTCCGCCATTCTAAGCTTGCTCACCCTTGGTACACCAGTTCCAGTGGCGTTCTTCCCTTCTCTTTCTGCCCACGCTAAACGTATTCTTGTTTTTCAGCTTTGGCAAGCCACAGTGGTCTATCTCTGTTACGATTGGCCTGGTTGGACCCAAGATGCCTGACTAGCCGATCCTCCCAGAAAACTAAGCTCATTAGCTAGTCTAGGGCTGAGCAATTTGCGGATCTGCTGTTGAAGTCAACCCGAGCCTGAACCGGTCCCGGGGCGGTGCTTACATCTCATGGCTCTCTATCAAGACGGCTCGTACCTTGAACCAGTGCCCCGAGAGCACCCTTTGTGGGACAACAACGATGGAAACAGATGCGCGAACACAACGAGGGCTAGGTTTATAAACACGGCGCTCAGCCCATCCGCTCTACGAGCTGTTTCCCTCGTCTCTTTCTGTCTTGTTTGGTCTCTCTCGGATTAACGGCGCACATTACTGTTATCCAAGTACTCGCCAGTCTCATTGAAACTGCTCAAAGGTCGAACAACATGGTGAACACATTTCGGTCCATCGCTGGCTTGGCGGCTCTCTCAAGCTTTGCCAGCGCCAAGCTCTACGAACTCCCTCAAGCCACCACTTCATTCAACTTTCCCCTCGACCAATTCAGCCCTCAGCCGACCAAAGCCCCGGCGTACGCTGACTTGAGGAAAAGACAATCATCGACGACGACCACCGTACTCGTTGCGCCAGATAACACTTGCGGTTACATCTCTGGGCGTGCCGGTGCGGCGTACACCTGCGGAACCGCCGCCAGCTGCATCTTCTTCACATCGGTGAACAGGAACACCCCCGGCCGAGTTGCCTGTTGCGACGCCAGCGACTGTGGCGCCCGCCGGACATGCTACGATTCTAAACAGGTCTCCTCGTCGAGTCTCTGCGATGGTGGCTGCCTTGTTGATCGCTTCACCTTGAAGTGGTATGTATGCCCTTGAAGATGATTCTCTCTCCTGACACCCCTCGTATTCCACAATACTAACATGGTATCTAGCACCAACACGGCCCGGCCATACTGCAATACCGTTTCTTTTGCGGATGGCATCTTTGACTATTGGTGCAATACGGCAGAGATATCAACCCCGCAAGCCGCGACGACCACCTATGCGGGCGGACCGGCGCGCAACTGGACCCCATTGGCACTGACAGACGACACCTCGTCCAGCAGCGTCATCCGGCCAGCCAGCTCTGGAGTAATCACAGGAACCGCTAGCGGCTCGGTGTCCGCGCCCTCCATAACCACGTCTCCTGACAACGACAATAATGGCGGCATCAACAATAACAACAATAACAACAAATCTTCGACCCCCGTAGGTGCCATCGTCGGAGGCGTCGTCGGCGGCATCGCCGTAATCGCCCTCATCGCCTTTGGAATCTTCTTCATTCTCCGCAAAAAGAAGAAGACGCAGCAACCCGGACCCGGACCTCACGGCCAGCCTCCCATGATGAACCAGCAGCAGCAGCAGCAGCAGCAGCAGCAGCCACCCCCAATGGGCTACGCACCAGCACCTCAGGGCTCGCCGGCACAGTACGCCGGCCAAACGCAGACGCATTCCTACTACGAGCCAAAGTACGACGGCCAGGGCGGATACCCGCAGCAGAACTACGGCGACACGCCCCCTCCTCCTGGTCAACAGGGAGGCGACTACCAGCAACCCTCCTACAACGGCAACATGGCGGTCCCCGACCGCGCGGACACCACGAGCCCCAGTGCCATGTCCCAGGCGACGCACAGCAACCGCCTCAGCACGCAACCCGTCAGCCCGAATCACCCGCAAGGCGGGTTCCAGCGGTTTGGCGGTGGTGGGCAGCAGCCGCAGCCGACTATTCACGAGGCACCTGCGAATGGTGATGGGCACAAGGGACAGATGCACGAGCTTGCCTAGTTGCAGTTGTGCGGCGGCCAAATGCTTCTGTCGATCTTGATCGTCGATGTTACGACATTAGACTTTTGTGGATTCTGTGTATACTTTTGTGTGTTTTACTAGGGAATGTTTCCTCTTGGAAGCGGTAAGGTGGTTGGGCTACACAGAAAGTGAAGAAACTACCCGGGTGTTGTCCTAGGTGAATTCGGTGTGTTGGTGTTGTATTAGACTTGGACTTTATGATTTATATTCTAATAGAGGTTGGTTCTTCCTCTGTCTCCCAAGATTCTGAGCATGATTCTGAGAGGAATTGCGAGGAATCGATTCATTCACCCTCATGTGGCTGGATTGACGTTTCACTATGGCTCACAGAGTTTTAAAACGTGTAAAGATTTTACTCGGCGCGCAGCAAGCACAGCAGGTACAGCAAGATCGTGTGACGTGTATGGACCAATATAAGGAGGTTATCAAGTAGGTGACAAAAGAGAGTTCCATCCAACAAGTGTTCCACTTCCACCTGATCACTAATTACCTTGTAGCGGATGGCAGCATGGGTCCAACGCCTTTCGATCATCCATGGAGTCGGGGTCCGGCGTGCAGGGTTGGCTTGATGACCTTCCAGAAAACATTGCCTTGACTTCTTTGCGCTGCTCGACGGCCAAATCTTTTTTTTTATTTTTATTTTTTATAACAGGCAAACCCAGGTCCAAGAAGTGCCGAGAACACCATTCTTCTCCGAGTTTTAGACTTCCTGCTCGAATCTTTCGCGCCTTTGCAAGACGACATAGGAGGCGCTCATCAGAGTCAAGTGGTCTGAGCTATTGCAAGCAAAGCATGCCTTGGCGAGGTCTGAGGCTTGTTGATACCCTTCTGGTCGAAAGAAAGACAGACGTACACTGACTGCGTAGAACCGCGATGTCGATGATATATCCCTTGTACCGCTCAATAAGCACCTTGCCTCTCTATACTAATCAACACCGCCGGCTCTATTGATACCACTGCCTCTATCAACACCATTACTTATATCAACATCACTACTACTATCAATACCACTACTGATATTCAAGGTAGCTTGCTCTCTCTCTAGAATGTATTCTATACAGAATATACCCCAAGAGACGTGATTAGGGGATGATGATAAAGGATGATGTCACGGCATAGTGTTCTAGTGGATAGTATCCACGAACGGGTCGTGATCAACATGTCTAGGCCGAGGCAGTATCTGCACTTTAGCACAGCAATCAAGCCAGAATGGCTCATTGATCTCCCAGACTTCCAGGAAACCCGATTGCCAAAGAGGGGATATGGACGGTATATATACGTAAATGTGAAGAAGCTTCCTCGATCGCGCGAGAAGCAGTCTTGGGCTTGGAAACACCAACTAGTCTTCTTTCCTCTACATCCTTTCCCTTGCAGGGTTCCAACGTCAAACCCTTCTTCACATCCTTATCACCGCAGGGTTATACAACACCCTTCTTCTCTCCTTCGAAGAACACCCGCGGCCCGGACACCAACACTAATAGTCAATCAGCCGCAGCTTCTTCCCAATCTCCCTCCGGCGCGCCTGTACCGCCGCGCGCTCAGAGGGCTTCGTCTCCCCGGGGTCCATGTTCTCCCCGCGAGCCTTGAGTGCTTGGAGAAGCATGCCTGCGTCAAAGAAGCCGTCTAATCACATGACGTATTAGCAAAAAGTCATTCGAATCAAGGAAATTCCCCATCAAGATACAAGGGAAACAAACAGAAAGAAAAGAAAAAAAAAGAAGAAAAAAACTTACATCCTCCAAGCTCATCATCCTCGCTAAGCGTAACACTCTCCTCCGTAGGCGACTGCGTTCCCGTAGAAGACCTCGCGACGGAGGGCTTGATGGCGTCGTGCGCGGTGATGAGGCGGCCGCGCGACTTGATCCCCTTGGGCGGCTTCGGCCTCGCCTGTAGATCGAGCTCGCGCGCGCGGGTCTGCTTAGCAGCACCCATGCCCGCGCCACCGGTGCCGCGGCGGGATGTGATGCGGAGGATCCGCCGCACCTCGAGGAGGTAACTCTCGAGCGTGTCGACGAAGCGCTTCGTCTGGCGGTGCTTGCTCGACACGCAGATGGAGATGCCCTCGTCCTTGATGATGTACCCGATGCCGAAGCCGTCGCCCGATGTGGGGCCGAAGCCGAATTGTCGCAGGGACGGGTTACCGCAGTTGGACGTCGACATGATTGTGTTGTTGAGCCTGTCCCACCCGGAGTCGGCGAAGATCTGCGGCATCGCGGCCTGGTTGTTGCCGTTGCGCGAGTTGGTGCTGTCGCCGCGGGCGCGGCCGGTGGAGGAGGACTGTAGCTCGGCGCCGTTGAGGGAGAGGACTGAGTCCCGGCCGGGGCTACCGACGGCGGACTCGCTGACGTCCTGCTCAGAGAGAGCGTCGATGGGGCTCGAGTAGCCGTTGGAGCTGCCGGAGAGCTCGTCGTCCATGGAGCGCTGCCAGGTGCAGAAGAGGGCGTAGAGGTGGCGGTCGCAGCCCTCTGCTCTGGCGCACTCGCGGGTGCTGTTGACGTGTCGCTGGCACGCCTTCCGCAGGGCCTCGACCTTGTGCTCGGCTGGGTTGTCGGCCCAAAACGTCTGGACAAAGTTGACCGACTCGTCTGAGACGCTGCGGATGGCCTCGGTGCGGCCGTGGAGGAAGATCTTGGTCATGGCGGGCTCGTAGGTGCACTCGACGCGGCCGTAGAGCCCGTAGTAGGCGGCTTGGAAAGCCATCTGCACAAAGGCGTCGGGGGAGAAGCCCATGGAGGTCATAAAATTCTTGCCGTAGTGCTTGAAGTCAAGCGTCTTGAATTCGTTCTGCTCAATGAGGTCGGCGAGGCGGGTCTCTGCAAAACGGACTGCGACGCTGAGCTCCGGGTTCATGTTCCACTCGAGCTTGTGCGGTGTGGTGTTGACCTCGCCGAAGCTGTCCGGATCGCGCTTCGCCGGGTCCGGGCTGGTGGAGGCCCAGAGGGTCGGGGCTTGACCGTTAATGGTCCGGGCAAAGCGGAGGATGGTATCCGTGTAGACATCGCTGGCGAAACGCAGGACCGTGTGGCCGTCGACGCCGGTGTGCTCAAAGTTGATTCCTGCACTGCCGTTTTTGCATACAATGATCTGCAGCTTGTCGTACCATCTGTTGGTGCAGGTTCCGATTTGTACACCCTTCTCAACCAAGCTAGTGCCGCACAGCATGTTACCACAAAGAGCGTCGGCGTCAACCGGCTCGGTGTAGTCGAGACACAGAACGAAAAGGGCCGAATCGACAATCCCCAAACAGTCGGCGTTGTTTGAACCCTCCTCCCGGGTCAGGACATCTCTCAGTCCCGACCAGATCTTCCGGTTTTCCGTGCTGAGGACGCCGAGGGCCCCCTTGGCCGCATCCTGAATCGGCGTCTGGGCAGCGTCGTCGATAATGGTCTGCAGGTTGATGGATACATCTTTCTCGCTCATGATGAGGTCGTGGTTGTCGTCCAAAACGTCGAACCAGTAGAATTGGCCGTGGCACATGACAATGATGTGCTTCGACTCCGGGTCCTGCTCGATTTGGCATCCATTTTCCGTGGGTACACGTGCTGTTCCGAAGAGCCTAGAGTATTGGTACATGCAAAGAGGCTGGCCCTTGACCGTGTCTGGAGGCAATTCCTCCTTGCGGACTGCTCTCACAAACTCGAGGGCCGACACCACGAGCGATGCCGCTCGGGTCACTTGATTGTTTCTTGCAGGAGTGGGATCATCTTCTAGTAGGAAAAACGGGTTGAGGTTGAGAACAACCGGGTTATCAAAGTTTAGGTATGAATCATACCCTTACAAAGTGGCTTGTTAGTCAAGATTGAGACGAGGGATGTAGATGTGCTTACAAAATTGTTCAATATAACTCGTCTTGTCCTGGGCGTACGTCTTCAGCTTGTCCTGCAGAGCCGGGCCATCGTGCTTCAGGAAGTCCTGTAGCGCCTGCTTGGTCTCTGAATGTTCCCGTGCAGACTGTAACGGCTTGAGGGCAGTGAGATACTTTTGTGCGGTGGTTTCCAACTCGGGGATGGGCAGGTGCTTGAGCTTCTCCTGGGCAGCGAATGTGACACCGCCCTCGACGGACTTGTCTTTGTACACTGCCATAGAGCGGGTGGCCTCTGTGCTCTGCTTCGGTTTTGACTGCTCGACTTGTTTCCAAAGATCTAAAGTATCTGGTATGGAACGAGGAACCGAGGATGGAGGAATAGCCTTTTCGAGAGTCTCACCGAGTGGCCTAGGTCGCGAAAAGATTCTGACTTGAGTGGGCATGGTTGTTAGCGGAGGGTGACTCCTTTTCTTATGCGTAGAGAGGCGAGACGTTGGTGCTGATGTTTAATCCGCGCAGCGCCGTGCGGTAGAAGTAGTGGCAATCTTGGAAGAAAATTGGTGGCATTACACTAGATGTTGCTACAACATCTGGACGACTATGGGCAGTGTAGTAGGGGGGGGGGGAGAGAAAAGAGGAGACAGCTCGGCTACAAGAAGGGAAATGGACTAGGGATATATCGACGGGCCTAGGGAAGTTCGGAGGAGAGAGAGGGAGAGGCTGACAAAGTGAAGTCAGGATGGTAGGCACTAGCATACTGAGAAAGGCGCATCTGTAAGGCGGATGGAATAGGTACGAAGTACAGACGAGATGGGATCAAGTGGAACCCTCCCCCCTCCACAAAGACGACTGGGATGGGGCTGGCGTGCAGATACCAATTCACCCTGGGGTCCCGGGGTATCATCTCGAGGAACAGGACGCCCTTTCACATGTGGAACAGAGGTCTCGAGTGATGGCACCGCAGGGCCGGAAGCAAGCGCTTAATTGGGCTGGCGGAAGACAGGAAACGGGGAGGGGACGGGCACTTTGGGAAATCCGCGCTGGCTAGGTCAGGCCCTGGGAGGCAGAGGGGTGCTTGGCTTGTGAAACTCGCTCCGCAGGCCCGACGCGAAATGATAATATGGGTGCGGCCAGTTTCGTAATCTGCCGAGACTTTATGGATAAAAGACGAAAGCCAGACAGGGGAAAGGAAAGCAATGTCACCTACCGGCGCAGTCGAACCAGTCAGTGATTTGCGGCCGCTGGTTATCTTTTTAGATGAAGATGTTGAACGTAGTTGGGGCGGAGAATGCGGGTGAGGCTGATGACTTGTCAAGTTGATGTTCGCTTCTGTACAGTATCTTAGTTAGAAACGGTTGGGCTTTTGGTCAAGACGTTCTGCCTAGTCGTCCCCGGTGAAGCCATCTGTCAGATGGACCTAGCTAGCACGAGGACAAGCAGAGACAGAGAGGCACAGGTCAGTATGGGCACCTGTCACTCACCTTGTTACACTCTTCACACAATCAGATTGTCAATGGTGTCCCCAGGCTACTACTACTACTACTACTACTGTAAGGGACTGGGTTGACCACGAGGAGCGAAGAGGAGTCGATACAGGTTGACGGGGATGCAGGAAATAGAATTCGAGGACTAGTTCCGGGATGCGACTCGACGTTACTGGGAGTGAACGGGTTGTCGGCTATGATGAAGGCGGCGGCGGCGGCGCGGAGAGAGAGGGAAAGAAGAGAGTGTGAGTGTGAGCGTGGGCGTGGGCGTGTGCGGGGTGCGTGAGAGGATGAGTGAGTGAGTGAGTGAGTGAGTGAGTGAGTGAAGGGTGTGATGCAATGAAGGCGATGGGCGCTTCTGGAAATCCGACGTCAGGCCCCACAAGCAGGTGCAGGCGCAGGTTGCAGATGATTTGTCTTGTAATACTCTTGGAGTCTTGGTATCCGTAGACTTGGGGTTGGGGAAAAGTGCTTGGCTGAGCCAATTCAGGCTGGGAACCCCACGGGGTCGTGGACGTGGACGTGGACGTGGCGTTGGTGATTGTGAGTGAGCCTTTCGGGCGAAGGGGAATAGGGCAAGAACGTGGCAATGGACGGCTCTGGTTGGACGGACGAATCGAGCACCGGTTTGGCATGCGCGTAATGCGACCTGGGTGTACAGAGAGTACTGTACAGAAGGACCAGGCCGGGGCACAAGGATTGGGAGTGTGTGTGGGTTGTGAGTTGCGACACACCACGAATGCGCTTGGCGGCTGACTGATTCGGCGCGAGGGTTGTGCTGGCGCGGGTTTTGCTCGTGAAAGACGCCGGAGAGACACGGAGGCTAGACGAGGAAGTTGGATGGGTGGACGGATGGATGGATTGGTGAAGACTGATGTTCCAACTGCCTTGGAGTAGACCTCTTTAGCAAACCCGAGTAGCTGTATCCGTACCGGAATCCAGGTTGATCATCGATGGCGAGCCGGTTCAAAGTTGAGAAACATGAGAGATAGTCTCAGTCGCATTCCACGAGTGGCGGTCGAAGAGAAGAACCGGAGCCGGAGAGAGAGAGAGAGAGAGAGAATGAGAGAAAAGAGGGGAAGCCGGAAATTGTGGGTAACAAATCGTTTACTTCAGTTCCCCCGCGGGATGAGTTAATTGGAGAAAAGGCCAGGGGTCCAACGAGGAAGGTGTACTTCGTACTCCGTACCACGGTACTTGCTTCGTCTTTCTTCCCTTGGGCGATGACAACAAGCAGCAGTGACGGCCACAAAGGCAAGTAGAGAGATAGAGCCTGTATTCGTGCTGCGTTTTAAACTTGCAACCTTGCTGTGGATCGTGGTTGTGGGTTGCGGCTGTTATCGAGTCCCAGTTACTGACATGTGCCCAGTTGCGAGCCAAGCAACTACGGCGGCGATCAGGACCAGCGGAAAGTCTGTCCAGCTTGCTTTGAGGCGGTTGGGGTCCAGTTGGTCTTGTCTGTTTGGCGTGCGGGGGTCTTCGTCGTCTTCTCTTCCGTCGCCGAGTTGCCAGTCCTTTTGGGTACGGAGTAGTGGTCCGCTGCTTGAGAGTTGGTAAGCAATGAGAAGCAGATTTGGTCTTCCCGTGGTCGTATGTGAAGGTGTCGAGAAAAGCTTTCGGCGCTTCTTCAAGAGTCCGGGTTGAAATGCGCAAGTTCAACCGCGACGTGATGTTCGACTTTGGTACAGGCTATATCTGCTCCGGAGCGAGAGACAACCCGTCACGGTCGTGTTGGAGAATAGCTGCTCAGGTGACACTAGCAGTGACGATGCTGCTTGTCACTGAAGCACGGCTAGTCGCTGGTCTGCCTAGTAAGTATAACCTCGGACTTGATTCAACAGACCTCGTTTGGTACTTCATATCCTTCAAAGCATCAGTTGTTGGTGAAATAGTCGAGGCCAGGATTTCTCTTGTGCGCCATAGCCTCCCGCCCCCCTCTGCAGAACTCTTCCACCTTCCCGAGGGCACCTGGCGATCTGCAAGACACAACTCTTCAAAAGGTTCACGGTGCATCGGATGAAAAGCAGAACGGCCTGGCGCCGGCCGGGGAAGCGCAAGTAGCTCGCAAATCAGCGTGCCTGGACCGAGCCAGCCGAACGCCAGCGGCCGACCCCGGGCCCAGCCATGGAAAGAACCAACCCGGCGCCCTTTGTGGACGACCGCTGGATTGCCGATGGTGGATCGCCGATCGCCAATTCCCCTCTCGTGTCTGCTATGTGTTCGGATCAAAGGACGTTGACAAACGTGGGAGAGGCAGTGTGCGTGGATTTCTCAGATTGGGCCAGCGCCCGCCCATCTGGCAGGACCGCAGGACCGCAGGACCGCAAGCATCCCGCCCCGCTGTAAGGTATGGAAGTGCCTACTGCGGTAGTGTGCTCCACAGTGGGAAGCAAACCGTCAGTCCGGGTCACCTGCAGCATGCGCCTAAGCCTACCTTACCTTGAGACTTGGGGACATCATTTGCCTCTCGTCTGGTTGGTCCGTTTGGGAAAACCACCACCGGTCACTCCCGGAGAAGGGAGGCGCATCAGGAAGAGGCCGCAGGACCTTGCCGAGAATATTCCGGGGCTGCGGAACCGCCTTTTGCGTGGGGTGCTGGTGACACTGCATCCAGTGCTTCAGCAGCGGTCCCTTTCCCCCGCCATCTGCATCTGGCATCCAGTTCTGCGCCAAGTTGCCGATGACAGCTCCAGTCCACGTTCTCCGTCCTTGAGAAGCCTAGCCACTACGAATAGGCAGTTGGCATTTGGACTACGATGTCTCCGTCTATTGCTTTGCACTATGAAAGAAACGCAGACAGATAATGCAATGTTCTTATCGCCTCACTGGTGGGACCAAGCTTTGACGTACTGTTCGGCCACAAGTTGGGGGACTTTCGGCTCATCTACGGTTCACGACACCCGAGTTGTCGGCCCTTCGGCTCCGGCACGGATTCGGCCCCACTTCAACTTACATGACATGAACACTTCGGGACTCCGGCACACGACAACGAGTAAGTCATATCACTAAGAGTCAAGAATCAAGATCCAACTTTTCATTAATCATGCCGATCCTCACTATTTCTGTATTGTTCTTGCTTCGTATAAGCAAAGTCTCATTTCCTCTTTAATTGCCCTCTTTCTCTCCAACTTGCAACCTGCTTGCAGAAGTGTGACAGTGTCCATAGATGAGGGACAAGCAATGAGGTTTCCTTTGAATGTTCCAAACTACCAGGCGATATCATTTCGATCGATAACTTCGCGGTTCAGAAGTGTCACTGATACAATCTCTCAATTCATCGCATACACCCAGATCTACTTAGGGGTTCAGGCACCCACCCACCCGCACAATGATTGGAAATCATACACGAGGTAGATTATTATAGCAACTATATCTAAGTGTTCGAATCCTAAACACTGAACTGAAAAACCAGCCTCCATTTCCACCGCATATTCCCGATACTACGGTGTCTCCTCCATATGTACCATAAGCATATACAACCCCGAGTCCGTCATGAGGCTCAAATTCGTAACCCAAAACTCTGCCTGAATCTCATATTAAGGAGCGCATAGTAGGCGACCGGAGACTTCAAGATTAGCCCGCTCACGGTCAACGCAAACTCCCGAGGGCAGGGTAGCTGTTACACCACCAGCATCACCGCCACAACTATATCGATTTGGTACTACCCAAAATCTAGTAGTTGTTGGGGCAGCGAATCATCTGGTTGGAAGCGGTCACACGGCTACCGCATCCGTGGTAGCCCATGGAGTAGCACAGTCCGTGGGCGCTGGCACCGCCGGCATCCGTCGCGGTGTGGACGGCATGGACCTCGTAGGGAGTGACGGTGGGGGGCCTTGCAGGCTCTCTTGGAGTTGGCGTCGACGTACTGGGTCTATTTTCAAAGTTCACTTGTCAGCGCACAATTCCCCCATCTAAGCTGTGGGATATTCGGTGGTTGAAACGTACGACAATGACGCCCTTGTCGACGCTGAAATGGGGTCTTTCCCACAGGAAGCAGACGTTGATGGGGCCGCAGGTGCCGGCGTAGCTGATACCGGTGGTGACACTGTCGGGAGTGTGGCCGATGCTGAGGCCGAAAGTGCTGAGGAAGGTAGAGGCAGCCTTGGTCCAAGTGTTCTTTCCACCAAACTACAATACTTGGGTTAACCTTACAAAGCTTTCAATGAAGAGGGCAGAAGATCCTTGTGTGTGTACTAGGCTTTTCTTTCAAACATGGAGGGAAAAGGCTTACCATAGGAATATCAGCGGTACCTGAGATGGTGACGCCAGAGGTGTGGGTGACGGAGACGGTCTTGGTGATACCGCACTGGGGGTCCGAGACGTAGTGGTAGTATCCGTAGACGTTGTTGTTGAAGGACTGTCTCACGCCGCGGTAGACGTAGTTGGTGCAGCTGCTGGAGCATCGCAGCCTGTCGTCGTAGAAGCAAATGTCCGGGAAGGCTCTCTTGCTGACATGGCTGGCGGGGACGTGGATGTCCGCGTCAGGGTTGCTGGCGAGAGCGACCATGGAGGCTCTGCGGTGCAATGTTAGTGGGAAATTCCAGCTACCGTGAGGGATCCCATGATGAGCAGTAAAGGGGAGTCACGTACTGGTAAGCCTTGGCTTCGTCATCCGTGGGGACGAACCTGCCCTCCGAGTCGAAGTACTCGGGAAGGCTCATGTAGTGCTCCTTGAACTGCTCCGTGGTGAGGGCCGAGATGTTGAAGTCCTGGTAGGTCAACGTCTTGCCGTCGACCTGGACCTGCTTGTCCATCATGGGGAGTCCCTCGTAGAGGGCCGAGTCGGGCGTCCATTTGTTGTAGTCAAAGGCCTCCTCGGGCTTGTAGGTCGGCAGGTCGGCCGCGTCCCTCTCGAGCAGGGATGACATGCCCTCTAGGGACTACGCCGACGAGTCCACGCGGGCGACGACGCCACCGTGCACCTGGCTGAGGGCCAACGCCAGAGAGAGTAGACTAAGCATGTTTAGAAGCTTAAAGATTGTTCCTTTGGAGAGAAAAAGAAAGTATGGCTTGAAAGGATTGTGCTTGGTCTGTGAGGACTGAAAATATGCGGAGAGAGCGAATCGGAGTGAGCGATGCTTGGCAGAAAAGCTTGTCGTTAAGCATGAAGCTCTGTCGTTTATTATATCTTTTTTCCCCCTCGAGCTTCAGTCCCCCTCCATCATCGTGGACCCCCACAACTCTTCAACCTCCTCGTTTATCGATCCCACTTCGCCCGCCTTCTCTCGCTCTAGGAACTTGCCTGCCGCCAAATTATGAGTCTGTCCAAGGACTCCAGATAACGAAGATTAACGAGTATCCTCACATGAGTTGCTCTGACTCGGAATTGAGTTTGTATTTTTTGCTGCTAGCAAGCTGCACAGCTGACCTTGTTGAAATGAGGATTTGAGGATCGCAGAAGCACCTACCAGCTTTGAACCGGCGGTCTATTTCCCGCGAGCATGTTTGGAGTTCCTAGAAGCTCAGACAGAAGCTCAGACGACTTCGTATAATTACGATATTTGCCCAAACACCGACTCGCACATATCAACTTATCATGCTGAGCCTGAGCTTCTAGTCTAGAAAACCATCAAACTTCACCAGGGTCTTGGCAAGTGTATTCCGATCTGTACCTGTTCTGGAGTTGACTCTGCTCGAGGTTGCTCCAGCTTGCTCGATTCAGACTTATCAAGAGACGGTTAAGTTTCAACGAGAAATAATATCAGCACGTAAAGTGCATCAATATCGAACATAGACTAGACTAAGTCGCGGAGATTATGTGAGATAATGACATTCCCCGAGATGTGGTGTCTTGAAGCTGTCACCCAATCGCTGGATCGTGGATTTCCAAGCCGAGCCCAAATCATTTTTGAGATATTTACTCACGGGGCCGGATCTCGCCAAGACAGCCCCAAGTGCCAACATCACCACCTCTGTTCAATCACATACTTTTTTGACTTACACTCTTTAGTCAACAACTACCTTTTCTCTCTCACTCTCACACAAAATGGTTTCCCTGTCTCTTCTCGCACCTTCCAAGGTCGCCTCGGCGCTGGTCCTCGTCCTCGGACTGGCTGACATCTGCAATGCGGCGGTCCAGTGCGACATCATCACCAGCTCAAACTGAGGCAAGGCCAAGTACCACATGGGCCACAAGCTGCCCACCAACGTCGGCGGGACATACTACGTGGACGGCTTCCACGGCGGTGTCATGAACGCAAAGTTCCAGTCCATGACCAACTCCGTCCCTGGGTGAGTCTCCCATTGTCTCAGCGGAGCGAAGTGTGCTTTACTGACTTGGCGAACCAGCAACTCTCAATACGTCGACCTGACGTACAACTTCAACCTTGGCAACTTTGACCAGGCCTACTGGATTCTTCTCCCCACGTCCTTTGGCGGCGCCAACGAGTGCTTCGCGGTCTATAAGAACTGCGATGTCACAATCAGGTTCTGGGACAAGAAAGACCCGTTGCCCAACTGGTACACCCTGGCATAAATCAACCCGGGTAGAAGTTGATTTGCTTGAATCTGTTGCTTCGAAGCCATCGCCGTCGTTCAACTTTGGACGAAGAAGGCGGTTGCATTGGAAGTGGGCTAGCCTGGCTTTTGTCGATCTAGGTGACTTTGGGGTGGAGAGGAGGCTCACGTAGGGCTGCTGTAGTATACTGCGACAACGTAAATAATAATACCACAATGTGCATAATAAGTCAAAGACTCAAAGTCCCTGGACATGAAGTGAGAGTGTGATGCTTGACGACCCCAATGACCCAAGCCAGTAGGCCTCCAGATGGAACCTCCAAAGACGCACAGCTATCACGTCATGCATCTCACCGTGACGCGTACGTAATAGCAACTTCGTCGGCGGGCGTTGGTTTGTGGAGTTTGTGTTGAGGTATTAGGTATTAGTGAAGAGATTTAGTTTGATCACATCAATATTGTCCGGTCTTGACCCCAAAGAAAGGCAGAAAAGGCATATCGCAAGGCGCATGGCGCAACAGACACACGGCGGCCCAGCATTCTGAGATGTGAAAATGTAAAAAAGAAAGCTTCGTGTGCGTGTTCAGTGGGCTTCGTCTAAGGTCTGAGGGGGTTAAGCTTATGGCGAAGCAAAAAAAAGTGACCAGACTGTGGACCACACCACACCGACTCCAGACGAACTGCGCGTGGCAGTGGCATGGCATTGACTTTTGGTTCGTGCCCGCCCGGCGCCCACTGCCCCGTGCCTCTTGCTTTGTGCCCGGTGCCGTTTCTGCCGCCCGCCCGCCGGCAAGACTGAGAGAGAGCACAAAGGTTTTCTACATCTGACGAAAGAAGAAGTTGGCGTGGGAAGCTTTTCGAGGAGGCTGATTGCGGGGTCCACTTGGTTCGGGGAGTCGCTCAAAGAGCCGGGAATTAGGCACGAGGTTGAAGTATCTCCACTCCGTGACAATCACGTTCGAGGTTGCCCGTTGCCCCAGCGTGCCTGCCCGTATGGGTCCGTATTCCACCGTATCTGTCAGTTCGTCCAATCTTAGGGAAACAAGTACGGAATACGGATCGGCACCAGGGATGCTCCGATTAAACGGGCTCACACTCAGCGCAACAAGCATTTGCCAACATGGAGCCATCCGGTCGCCAAGTATCTGATGCCACCTCGTGTGGGCTATCAAAAGCAGACTCACGGTGAATGTTTTTTTTCTTTTCTTTTTCTTTTTTCCGAGATGCACTCAACGCTATCACAAAGAGGAAATCGATTCGACGCTTGCTGAGATTCAGAACTCTGCGTCGTGGCTTTCTCGTGCCGGATTCCGAATGACGACGATGCGAGGTGCATAAGACCTTTTGGTGCTGACAGGCGCAGTCCTTTCAGGGTTGTTTTCTTTTTCTCTTAAACTCTTTTGGGAAGTCGATTCGAGCGGCACGGTGGTTATCCATCCGACCGCGCGGATAAGTCGTCAAGCTCTATTCGTACCTAACGCAAGGGAATGGCTGAGGAGGACATCCTGCAGTTGTCTCGCTGTTCCCTCATGCAACGTAAATGTGACTAGTCGCGATTTGGTTGAATGCACGAGCTGAAGGCGTCGTGGGGCTCTGATGAGGTGGGAAGAAGTAGCCATTCGTAAGATTGATCCAGAGGAGATCCAGAGGATTGGAACCATCTCCACATCCCCCTCGCAGGCTCGCACTCGCCTAATTCTTGGCTTTTCCCTCTTGTGGATACGTGCATGTTGTAATCCATCTTATCGATTGGCCAAATCCCATCGATAGGGCTGCCTTGGGCCCTTGGCCTGCCTTGGCCCGTCTTGGGAAGAGCTTGTCCTCTCCTCCCGCCATGCCGCGCGCTGCCATCTTCCAACGACGCCCGGCAACAGCTTACCTTAGTCGTTAAGGTAGGCAGTCTTAATGGTCCCTTAATCCTTAGTCTCATGTGTGTACAACGGGAACGAGGAGCCACACCCATTCCACCAGTATGATCGCAAAGGCGCCAATCATCGACTACCGTACGTGCTTAGATAGTCGTCGTCGTCGTCGTTGTCTTCCAAGGGCTGTGCATTATGACGTCTACCGGTTTCCGTCTCCTGCGGGTGGTGATGTGTGGGCCATGAAGCCCTTCCATCGTCTATCTCCGTGCTTCTGCTGCGAATGAGGGAACATCTCGGCGAGCGCTTCGACGAGATCCACCGGCTGCCTCCATCAATGTCTGCATTCGCACTCGTCTAAACCAATTGAGTGCTCGTCTTACCGGGCCTCCCCGGAAGTCCATTCCGTTCTGGCTGTTCTGTATACGCCCCTGTCTCAGGCTGAACTACCGATCATGTATCTGGATATCAAGTATACCATCGTTGGTGAGGATTTATATGACCCCTTGGCCCCCTTGGCCCCCTTGGCCCCCTTGGATCGAGTTCAAAAATAGAGTCGACATTCAATCAATCATTTCGTTCCTACCCCAGGCCCATCAAGTTTCCAGTCTACCAGAGGCCCACACAGCCAGAACAGAATCACCTACTTAGACAAGCAGCACCAGACAGCAACCCTTTAATCGGAAGAGACGTCAAGAATCCATCCTACCCCTCAAAGGCAACTTCGACATGGTCTTCCTCTACTTTGGGAAGAAGGCTTACCGGGCCATGAAAGGCTCGGGCAAGACGCAAACAACACCAGCCACAAAGCCAGAAGGGACAGGAGCACCAGCAAGCGATGGGACGAGTTATCAAGACAAGAACGGCCAAACGCCATTGGAAAGAACTTCAAGCACGCCGACTTGTAGTCACCAATTCAATTCGACCTCTGGACCCTGCCCTACATGCAAGTCTGAGCGCAAGGCACAGCTACAGTACAGAGTCAAGCTCTTTGCTGGCCTCGTTCTCCCCTTTGTAGTCCAAGCCTTGGACGTGACAATTGTACGTCTCTCTTGAGCCCCTCGAGATGCAACGCAGCTGACGAAATCTACAAGGTCGCAAGTGCCTTGCCCTGGATTGCAGCCGACTTCCGTAAGCCTCCCTCTCCTATAGAGTCCCATCTCTCCCACATCTTGTATCTAACAACCAACGCAGACGAGACTCGCCAGCTCAACTGGATCATCGCAGCCTTCAACCTCACATCGGCCGCCTTCATCCCCTTCTGGGGCCAGGTCGCCGACATCTTTGGACGCCACGTACCGATACAGACCTGTTTGGTGCTGATGCTCATCGGCAGCGCGCTATGCACCGGCGCACCGACGGATGCCTTCCCCGTTCTCCTGCTCGGCCGCGGCTTCCAAGGCTTGGCATGTGCTGGCCTCAACGTCCTCGTACGCATCGTCATCGCCGACAAGGTGACCCTGCGCGAGAACGCCAAGAACTGGTCAATCTTCTCCTTCTTGGGAGGTGTCTTGGGATGGGGACTGGGTCCTGTATTGGGAGGTAAGCCAGGCTAAGAACCATATCATCATCGATTTATAAGACTAATGGATTGTCAGGATACATCACGAGCGGTTCTTCCTGGAGATGGTGCTTCGGCATTAACCTGCCCATCGCCTTCGTCAGCATCTTCGTCCTCTACTTTGTCCTTCGTTCTGAACTCCTCGGACCGCAACCCATTCCCCAGCTCGACGAGACAACCGAAACGGGCCGCCGCACAACATTCAAAAAGCGTCTCCAGACAATCGACGTCGGAGGCCAGCTCCTCTTCCTCTTTGGCTTCGGTCTTATCGTCCTCGGCTTGACCTGGGCCGGCGCCACATACTCGTGGAGTAGCCCCGCCGTTCTCGTGACACTTATCCTGGGTGTCGTTATCAGCATCCTTTTCGTCGTCTGGGAGTACCACATGCCCCCAGGCAAGGCCCTGGCCCGCCGCTTCCCGTGGCAAAAGGCCATGATCCCCTGGGAGTTGGTCCGCAATAGGGATATTGGCCTCTTGTTCTACACCTCTTTCGCGACGGGTATGGCCATGTACTCTGTGCTGTACTTTTGCAACATCTACTTTACAATGGTGAAGCTTTGGTCGGCGGATCAGTCTGGCGTGCAGCTGCTGTACTTTACCCCGGGCTTGGCAGGTGAGTTCTCTCTTCCCTGCATCATTCGTGAGGCCGAGAGTTTTGCTGACGAGTGAACTCTGCAGTTGGTGTCTACGCCTCGGCTTTCATGTGCAACGGCTGGCCGCGTAAGACGTTCCCCCCAATCTTCCTCGGATCGATTCTAGAGATGCTCGGCATCGGCTTGCTGGCGTGGGCACTCTGGACAGAACACCTCCCTACCGTATATGGGATGATGGCTCTCACCGGCGTCGGAACCGGTCTCCGTATCATGCCCGGTAAGAACTCTTCCCACACATGCTGTGATTTTGGGCAGTGAGACTAATCCTCGGTCCAGTCCCTCTCCACGGCGTCGGCTACTTCCCCAAGAAGATCGCAGCCGTCATTTCTCTCATGGCAGTCGCATACCCCTTTGGCGGAACGTTGGGCCTGACCATCATGACGACCGTGTTCAACAACGCCTCGGGCATCAGCGAGGACTCACCCCTGAGAGACTTTGAGGCCCTTAGCCGCCTGCCCGCCGCCACGCAGCAGCAGGTCACCCACGACGCCAAGATGGGTGTCGTCTGGGCATTTGTTGCCATCTGTCCCTTCATGGTCCTTGTAAGTCATACCTCTAGGAGCAAGCTTCGGTCCGCCATCAAGCTAACTCGATGTCTCTTAGTGCACGGTATCGGCCTCGTTCCTTGGCAACGTCTACATCAGCAAAGTCGAGGAGGGCGAGAATGAGAGGCAGAACGAGATCTACGAGGGCGTCTACTTGATTAGCTATTTCCGCAAGCGAGGCACCGCCAAGAATGTAAGGAGAGAGCATCTGTCGGGCGGAGAATCGAATTTGGAGTAGGTTGAGGGTGATTTGCGCGGGCTAAGTGAAGGGACTTTTTCTTAACTATTTCTTTTGTTTTCTCAGGTTACAGGAGTTGATTATCTCTTCTAGGCGTAGTGATATTTGACAGGATAGCGTTGCTGCATCAATTCAGTGGTCTCTCTAGTTATTTCTTTTTCAATAGGCTGATTTCAAATGAAACAAGATTAAACAAATAGAGAATCACAGAAGTGTTGGAATGATACGCAGAGTTAAGATTCGTACCATGACACTGGGTAGTCATCGTCTCTGTGAATAAAGTCTACTCACTATATTCCACATCAATACCATTGACAAACTTGACGTCGGCCAATGGCGAAGAGAAACAAGGAAAAGCCAACCAACCCTTCCTTTCATAAGAAAAAGAAAGAAAAAATCCTGGATCCGTCAAGTCTGGGTGCGGCGAATATCACTGTGATTCGCTGCGCAACGCCGAGGCGAGGTGGCCAAGTTGTCCCGATTAGGAAAGTGGGCTGTGTGTTTTGTGGTGCGGTTGCGAAGCTCCGGCGGCCGGACCCTCCTCGCAACCTCACCTCATCACACGTCCGAATCGCTTCTCACCGTCTTTATGAGAGAAGGGTGCTTCAAATTCAGCATTGGACGCTCAACCATGAGACAGACTGCCTGAAAGCTCATTTCCTTCATTCACAGATCCCACTAGAGAGGGCCAGCTCATCCCGCCAACTCCTTATCTCACTGCCTCAAGTCGACATTCATCGAGGCGCACCTACACACATCAACCCAGATCTCTCTCTCTCTCTCTCTCTCTCTCATCCCCCCTCATCTCAAACAATGGACATCAATAAAGCTCCCGTACCAGACACCACATCCAGCCCGCCTCCCCCCTTACAGGACGAAGAAGCCCATCTGAAAGCGCGCACCTCGGACTCCAAATTCTGGCTCGACTTCTCCCTCTTCGACGACGGCCTCGACGCCCGGCGCGCAGAGTCCCTCACAACCCTCTCGCACTTCCACCGCTTCCCGGACCTGCCACCAGAGATCCGCCTCAAGATATGGTCCTACCTCATCGCTCCCCGCGTCGTGACGGCCTGCTGCTTCGAGCGCGACGCGAGGCTGCCCGCCCGGCGTGAGGCGTTTGCGAAGCGCTCTCTCGCCGCACCACGTGTCCCGTCCTTCTCTTCTTCCTCTTCTTCCGCCACCAAAGCATCAGCAAGTAGCCCAAAAATAGAAGGAGGAGAAAATGAAGAAGCAGAGACAAAGACCGCAGACGAGTATGAGAAACTCGTCTTCAACCCAGCATGCCCCCTCATCCTCCTCATCAGCCGCGAATCCCGCGCCCTCGGCCTACAACACTACGAACTCGCCTTCGGCTGGCGCATTTCGGCCCTCCTCTCCGACACCCCCATCGCCCGCCCCCCGCGCGTCTGGTTCAACTTCCGCCTTGACGCCCTCTACCTCGTCGGCGAGCTCGAGGCCTACGACCAGTACGGCTTCAACAGCCCCATGGTGTACTTTCTACGCAAAGAGGACACGAGGCGCGTGCGGCACGTCGCCTGCGCGTTTGAGGAGCTGCATTACCCCGAGCAGGAGTCGGATCAGATCTTTGGGTGTCTGTGGCACGTTGTCGATCGGTTCGCGGGCGCGAAGCGGTTGATGGTTGCTGTTACGCCCGGGGACGAGGAAGGGATGAAGGGGTGTCTTATGTTGAGTCCGGATAATATTATGCAAAAGATTTGGAACGGGTGGATTTTGGGGACGACGGTTACGAGTTCTAGTTTGGCGGATACGCAGATTTTGATGGTGCGGGAGGGCGATTTGGCGGATGTGATGGCGTGTCATGCTGAGGAGGATGAGGAGAAGAGTGGCAAGATGTCTGTTGCGGGAGTGGGCACCTAGGAGGAGCTCACTGGCATGGACGACGCTGACACTCACAAAAACTTTTGCTATTTCTGCATTGGACGGAGTTTGGATTTTTGGTGATTATGGGTGGGATTTCCTTCTGAGATTGATGATACAGCTGTTGTACATATGAATAGAGGAGAGGGTTGCTAGCTGTGCCGCCCGCCTAATGATGAAATTGGTATGTTCCCAAACATCCAAAACGCCGTTTCCGTTGCGCCATTCGTCCGACTATCTACAACACTACCGTTCTGTGAAGCGACCTTTCGTGCAGTGATGAAAGATGCAGCCTCACTGCTTGCCCTTGTCGAGACCCTCAAACGCAGGGCTGGGATTCTCTCCCTGCCTCCGCATCCCGCCAAGGAGCCAATCCGTCAGCCCGACGACCTTGGCACCGACGCCCTTCTCCCAGTCACCGCCCTCTTGCACCGTTTCGATCGTATGGCTCAATATCCTGCCCTCGGCATCAAACTGGAACACGAAGAGCCCCGTAAACGCCTTATCCCCGCCGTCTTCCGTCTTCGCGCCCCCTCCTTCCGACGTCGCAGCGCCAGACGAAGGAGATCCCGCCGCACCGCCGACCCCTCCGCCATTCTTCTTGCCAGACGCGCACCACCTGACGACCAGCTGTTCCGGCACAGCGCCAGGATGCAACGGCGCAAAGTGGAGGGGCTGCTTCGTCACGCGCTCCGAGACGATGGACAAGCGGACGTTCCCGACCAGCGGCATGCGGTTCCAGGCAATGGGCGAGGTCCAGAGGGCGGCGGTGTAGGCGACGCGGCCGGAGACGGTCGGGAGGTGCGGGTGCGTTGTCGGGAAGAGGTGGAGCGAGATGTTGGGGGCGAGGATCTCTTGCGGGAGCGGGGCTTGGAGGACCCGAGGTAGGTGGTCTTGGAGGATGCGAAGGGCTATTCATTCGGAAGCTGTTAGTCCTAGTTGCGCAAGACGTATTGAAGAGTTTCGTTTCCGCTGGAAGGATACTACACGTACTTTTTCCTAAATTTGCATTGTTCTCGTCGCCTGGCTTCTTGCCGGGCCTGCCGCCGGTGGTGGAGAGGGTTGCGTTGGAAGGGTTGAAGTAGCGGTTCTGCGGCTCGACGTGCTTCGTTCTCGCATGCGCCAGGACGGACGGCGGGGGAGGAATTATCGTCTTTGTCGTCGTGGTAGTACTAGACGCAGCAGCTACGGCGACAGAAGCTACTGTTGCATTCACAGCGGTGGCGCTGGACCACAGCTGCGAGGTCAACGGCGACGTCGTAGCGGCCCGTAAGCCGGGTGAGGTAGCGAGGCGCAAGGTGGCCATGGGTACTAGAGAGCGGCAGTCATAGATTAGAGGATGTCACGCAGAGAAACAGAAAGCCTTGCACCGCTGGAAGTAGTAGGGAAGAAGAAAAGCAGACAACGATGAAGGTGGGAAAAGATGATGTCAGGAACAAGCGCGCTGCGGAGGAAGTGACGGATCAGAATTCGCAGGGGTGAAGCTCTAGCTTCGGAAATCCCATGGCTCAGGTACCTCAAGCCGGGGGTGCGGAGAAGGACCCGCACGCCCGGATTGGTCCCCACTTTGACATCGGCCCGGAGGCAACCACGTATGACTGCCATTGAAGATACATGGCACTTGACAAGCTTGGTAAGGTATGTCAAGAGTGCGGTGCCCCAGGGAAGAGGTCATTTAATTGCTTGTGAATCCTCAATTGATATCTACGTTTCTCGTGTGCTATCTATGCTTTTAGACCCTACGCCGTCCTTGTCAAAACTCCAATATCCCGGGACTTGCGTGATACACTTTAGGTACTATACACGTCGCGCCATCTCATCATCTCGGATGAGGGAACTCGTCTGCGAGCTGCAGCCTCACACCGACGTTCATACTGATGAGCTCCTGCACCAGAAGTTTGGCGGCGTAGGGCATCGTCATCTGTGTAACCTCCCTGGTGCTCTTGCACGTGTGGCAGTAACCCTTGTAACCGAACAAACCGCACTGCTGGCAAATGTCGATCTGCGTTCCGTCGGAACTAATCATGAGACGCTCAAGCAGCAGCTGAGAGGCACCGTACGCAATCAAACAATCGCGCTCCATCTCACCCAGACGGAGACCACCGTCTCTGGAACGACCTTCCGTGGGTTGGCGAGTAAGAATGGCTCTGGGACCACGAGAACGAGAGTGCATCTTGTCTTGCACCATGTGCTTCAGGCGCTGATAGTAGATGGGGCCGTTGAAGATGTAAGCCTCCAGAGGCTCTCCAGTGATGCCTGAAGTGAAGTAGTCTTTGCCTTCCCAGGAGAAGCCGTGATCAACCAAGGCAGCGCTCATCTGTTCCAGGGGGTGTGAGCGGAAAGCGTCACCAAAGCCGTAGTCTTTCCGTCCGTCCAGAACCGAAGCCTTGCCAGTCAAGCATTCAAGCAGCTTGCCGACAGTCATACGAGACGGGAAACCGTGGGGGTTCATGATAATGTCGGGAACCAGACCCGTATCGGAGAATGGCAGATCCTCCTGGTCGACAATGATTCCAACAACACCCTTTTGTCCGTGACGGGACGAAAACTTGTCACCAAGCTCTGGTCTTCTTGTTTGTCGCGTCTGAACTTTGACCACCATCGTTTCTCTCTCCGTGTGGGATACCATCACCTTGTCGACGTACGCGGGATCCGCAATTCTGTACGAGATGGAAGAATCTCTGAATTCGCTTGGTCCACGATCCATACCGATGCCTGTTGATCCAGTATCGAGAGGGGTTTCCTTCTTGATCATGACCTCGCCCGAATTGACCTTGTAGCCCACAATAGCGAGACCGTCGTCGTCCAAGGCCTCGTGCTTGGTTGTCCTGCCATTCTCGTCGTTGACCGGGTCACCAATGCGTTCGCGTCTACCGTTGGGGTACTTTTGCAGCTCAGCCGTGTATTTGCGGAATACTTGACAGCGTCCGAAACCGCGATCACAAGACGCCTTGTTCAAGACTAACGCGTCCTCAATATCGTAGCCAGAGTACGACATGACAATGACTGTGGCGTTCTGACCAGCTGGAAGTTTATCGTAGTTGACAAGCTGAATTGTCTTGGAGATGACCATCGGTCTTTGGGGGTAGACGAGGGTGTAAAGCAGGGTGTCGATACGATTGAATTGGTTGTATGCGATGGCGCCAATAGCTTGCTTACCCATGGCGCATTGGTAGGTGTTTCGAGGAGATTGGTTGTGGTGAGGGAAGGGAATGAGGCCAGCAACTGCGCCAAGAACAGTGAATGGCTCGATTTCCATGTGGGTAGTAAGAGGGGTAACGTCCTTTTCGTAGAGAGCAACGAGAGTGTCGTTCTCTTCGTTGACGTCAAGATACTCGACAATGCCGTGTGTCAAAAAGTCGTCGAACGTAGCCTTGCCCAGTTGCAAGAGTCTCAAGTGTTCCTCCTTGAGCTTGGGCTTGCCGTTCTTGACAATGATGTAAGGTCGGCAAATGCGTCCTTCGTCAGTGGCAATGTGAACTGCGTTGAAGTGATTGTTGATGTGAATGCTGACGAAGGGAGAGATCCAGCCGCGCCTTCTCATTGTCCTGAACTTGCCCGCAAATCGTTTCGGGTATCTGGTCAAGGCGAAGGGGGTTCCGTTTATGTGGATGACGTATGAAGTCTCGCGGTGCATTTCGCCGCCTGAGAAATTTCGGATGGGCTCTACACCGGCGTCCAGGGTGAAGACCCATCGCTTGACCGGCGCTTCCTCGACGTTGGTTGTAATATGGGTCATGAGAGCCAAGTTCTTGACCAAACCACAGGCTTCACCTTCGGGTGTATCTGAAGTGCAGAGCATGCCCCATTGTGAGGGCTGAAGAGCACGAGGACCACTGACTTTGCGAGTCTTTTCAAACTGCGAGCTGATTCGAGTCATCATCCCGAGAGCGCTGATGTAGCTAAGACGACTGAGAACGTGAGTTACACCGGCTCGGTTCATATTGAAACGCTTGACAGTCCAGTTTCCTGTCTGGATAGCTCGATTGATGCCCTGACCGATCATGTTGGCGTGATTGCTGATCATGTTGACGGCATCGAGGGGAACGGCTCGATTGTCCTTCTTCAGAACCTTGTCGATGCTGCTCTTGACGTTGCCGCAAAATTGCTTAAACAAATCCTCAAAAAGCAGAGAGAGAAGCTGCCCAGCCAACTCGAGTCGCTTGTTTCCGACGAAGTCACGGTCATCAACGAGACTCGGGTCGGCTTGCGCCATCAGGACGCGCCGCGTCATGAAAGCCACATAGACGGCCTTGGGATAGAAGTCTAAGCCCTCAATAGGGACGTGGGCGATGATGAGGTTCGCCAAGGCGTCGAGAGCTTCTTCGACGTGGTTTCTTCGGACTTGCGCGGCGAAGGGGATCCTACTTTTACCCATCTTTACTCTGGCACCGATGTACTCCAAAGCCTGTTGTTGCGTATATACGCCAACCTTGGTAGCTTCCTCGAATTGAATGAGGAACTCGTCTTGATATTTTCCGTTGTCGCCGGCAACGAGTTGCATGATTTCGTAATCTGACAGGCCTCCCAACGCCTTCAGGATGATGACAATCGGGATGCCTTCGACTAAAATGTTGGCAGTAAGAAGAATTCGGTCCTTCTTGAGCGTCACATACGTCTTGGATTTGCGTTCGTGAGTCGAACTGGTGACTGAAGCTGTGATGACGCTGTTCTTCTCGTCGGCTTCGACAATGACACGGTTCTTGCTGAGTTGTTCCTGAATGAGAATGACCTTCTCGGTGCCATTGATGATGAAGTAGCCGCCGGGATCAAGAGGACACTCATTCATGCGCGACATTTCTGCGTTGTTGGCTCCACCAAGTCTGCAGATGGAGCTCTTCAACATGACGGGAAGGCGCCCAAGGGGGACATTCTTCCGCACAATCTTGGATTTATCGCGAATATAGGCGATATCAACCATAATAGGTGCGGCGTAGGTCATGTCGCGCAAACGACACTCCATTGGTGAAACCTCATTCTGAGCTCTGATGTCGTTGAAGTCGACGCGACTGGGTCGCTCAACTCTGATATCAGTGAACCTGGCGGGGCGTTAGACTGGTTCATGCAAAAAAATGCAGGGAATGGCGGCATACTCAAGCCAGAATGAACTATTCACATCGCTTCGAACAATGCGGTTGGCGCGGACGATTTCCTTGATTTCATTCTCGACAAAGAAATTGTACGAGTCAATGTGCTGTTTGACGAGACCCTTGACCTTGAGAAAGGCGGGTAAGAGCTGAAATTTGTCCTCCTTGGTCGAGATAGGATCTGTCAGCTTCTTTCCGTTGTAAAAGGGCTCCAAAAGAGCCTCGAAGCCGTCGTCCTGCATGATGGTCACCGTGTTCCGCCTGCAATCATCATGTGTCGTTGGGAATTGCGGCAACGCGGAAGGAGGGTCTACCGCAGAATTTTGAGAAGCAGGCGGTCGAGTCACATCGCGAGTTTGAGGTAAGTGGTGGGCAACAGAAAAGTTTGGCCCCGCGGTGCCGGGTGCTGGCAGCAGCCCCACCTTTGCGCGACCGACGGGTGTCACTGGTATTCGTTCAGTGTCTTAGTAAGCATGGTGAACTTGGGACGGCGACGACCAGGCTGGCGGGGCACACCTGGCACACCTGGATTGACCTCGGTGAGCCACGCCGAGCTGTGTCAGCCCGCCTTGCAGCAGCACGAGGTGCTCTGCCGTGCGTTGTCCACCTTACCCTACCTACTTTATTGCTTACTTGATTATCCGTACCTTGAATGCCTTAAGGTTGGGACAGGCCACGGTTCATCCCAACCTGCTGACGGACCTACCTAGTTTCTGGACTAAGGTAGTTGACGGTGCACATTCGATGCGGGCACCCACATGGTAAAAGCACCTAAGTTTGCAAAGGCTACTCCGAACTCATCCTCAGGAAAGAGGTTCTCGTGTGGCATGATGGTCTCGGTGCAACTTATCGAGTTTACGACTGATCAGGTCGTGGTCATTCCATCTGTGGGTTCGATCTCTGTTAGACTCTGCGTTGACGGGTGCCCAAAACCAGGGTTTTGGGCCCGCCTCGTACGTTGTGCAGCACAGTCAATGTCAGGGACCATTTACACGCATACTCAACGACCCGTACTTCCAATGCTTGTCTCATCGTCAAAGGAAGTGGATAACAGAACAAGAGCAACTCAGTCAGCACTGCCATGTTGGTACACCAATCGGTATACCAATGGAATAGCACCGCACCAGGCTGGTTCCAGTATTTGATACTCCGTATGCAAGTGTGAATCCAAACGCAACTGCAAGATTTAGGACCAATGCCGCGACTGCCTCCAAGGTCCAAAGCCAAGTTGACCAGGGACTCCGGACACTTTCCTCAACTGGTTGACGAGTGGGGGTTGTCGCCGTTCCAGGTCACCACTTTAGGCTGTGGAAACTTGGGAAGCCACGCCTGAGCAAGGGAGAGGAGAGCAGCCAGGGCCTGCGGGTGCCTTGTCGTCTGCTGCGGCCCCGCCCTTCACCATCTTTTCTCTCTACCTCATACTTTACCCCTCTTCGCGACAGACAAAAGCCTCTTTTCCAACGGCCTAGGTCTCTGGGGTCTTGGGACACGACTGCTTGACTTTTACACACGCAATTCCCAGGAGCAAGCTGGAATTGGATTGCTTCGTCATCCTGCCCTGCAACAGTCCATTCTGATGTTATTCAGACGAAAAGCAGTTCACGACACTAGTACTTACATGAACGTCACTAGAGCCTAGGGTTGCTTCTAGGGTTTCGGACTAAAAGTCTTTCGCTGCTCATATCCATAATCACTTTACGGTCTTGTTCTGTCGTCACACCTGCATGGGATCAGAGCCCTCCCCGCAGGATATCCCTTTGCACGACCCGCAGCTGGTGATGCGGCGGCGGCGGCGGCGTCTGCATGTTGCGTTGGCAGAGGATATACTGTGGCAAGCCAAGTCACATCCCATCAACTGCAACTGCCCCTCTTCGACTCCAGATATCGGACCCCGATCGGTTAGGTGGTGAAGCTGCCCCGCGATACAACGAAACGGATACACCTAGCACACGTCCACCCAGCTGGAGAGCTACAATGGTCGCAACTTCCAAGGGCACAATAGTCGATCGAGAGAGAACGTAAGGCTAGTATCGACTCTCCATTTGCCGCTTTTCACAACCTCCTGAAACCGTTCTCTGCGGCGCAGCTTAGGCTCTGCGACCGTTATTGTTGGCATGGAAACACACAAAGACGTTGAACTTCCAAGCAAAGGGCGAAGTTTGTCACCTATGATGCAACAGGTCAACCCCGCGAGTCACGACCTACGGCCCCGAGGATTGCGGCCGATCGAGGGTCCAACCACTCTGTTATCGGAGAACCCCTCCTCCTACTGGGGTATCGCATCACAGAGGAGCTAGAGCCAAGGGCTTTGCCGCCTTTGCCTGATGGGACCTTTCCTCAACGACATGGGCCCAGTGCCAGAATGGCAAACGAAAAAAAGGGGTGGCGAGGGAATATCCGAACTAGTTGATCGTCGAGCCGACTTCCCTCGGCTTAGCGCAGAATTTGCTAAATGGAAGACCATTCAGAATTCTAGCCCGTCGTCTGTCTACCAGGATCCTTCAACAAGCATCCTGCCAGTGACATGGGACGACAGTCAGAGTCAGAACGTCTTCTGCCATTCTCAAACCTCCCCCGCCGCCAAGGTACAAAACCGATACCTGTCGAAGCCTCCTTAAGGCCCCGTCTGACAAGTCACTGTGGCCCCGAGCCTGGAGTTTTTGTTACTCTCCACGCCAATGCCGCCGCCCACGCCTACTTTGTCGCAGACTCGCAGATAGCCCACTCAATGCGGGCCTTAAAAGTCGGTGTAGAACCGAGCCGCTAGAAGCTTGCGACAGCCCATGCTTGCCGCCCAACAATTCAGTTTTCCTAACTGCTATTTTCGCGATTTTCAAGCCAGGACGGGCCATTCCATGCCTCCTAGGAAACCATCTAGCCGCATTATGACGAAGCACTGGAGCCTCTACCCCGAGCATGGATCCTCGCAAACCACCCGGCGGCTGGAAGGTGGGAAGATGCAAGTCACTTCGAGACCCTCGCCAGCCCACCAGCAACGGTCCAAGATGCGGCACCAATAGGACAAGGCCTACCACTCAAGTGCTTCGTCGCTGTGCCCGAATCGCGGGGCACATCACGCATGTTTCTGAACTGCGCGTTCTCGTCAAAACTGTGCTGAGGATGAGGCTGGAAGCTAGGTACTCGGACACCTGGCTCGTCCCCTCGTTCGTCTCCTCACCTCACCTGCAGGGACGGACGGCCTCGACAGCCGTACCCAAGCCGCAGCCCTAACAGCCACACACATGTTGGCTCTTTTTAGGCGAATTGATATGCATCCTGTATGAAGCTGCAAGGCATTCAATCCCTTGTGTGTTCGAAATCTTGAGCAGTCAGAATGCATGGTCTTCTCTCCACACTGAGGTTTCGTCTTGATGTGTGAATACATACTGACAAGCCACGGGAGTTTCGCGCGCCGTCTAGCCAGGTCAGTCTTAGCCGGAGACCCTCAGTTCGGGAAGACCCTGTCTCCCCGCCAGCGGCTTGCAAAGAAAAAAAGAAGAAAAATATTGTGGAACTCTTCGGAGCGACAGAATGGCAGGGTCAGGATGGACCTGTTACTCAGAATCGAGCAATCTTCTGAGGTCCCTCTCGTTCAGCGATTCACCGACGCAGGGTTGCAATCCATTTTTTATCGACTGGTGCTCTGTATGCATTCACACGTTGAAAGCGTCACGGAACTCAGCAATTTCAAGGGAAACTATTGTTGCAGGGTGGGCCAATGAGGGCAGAGACCGGTACTTGTCTCAAGATGGATCTCACAGCAACATATCCATTGGTACGAATAGGAACCATACACAGGAGCGGCGTCATTTGATCGTTCCAAGCCTAGAGATAGAGGGTTTGATACCAACTGACCAGAATCGCAAGTTGCTTCTGACGACGTACGTAGGCTGCTTTGCTCGGTGTCAACGACGAACGGAGCACCCCATTGACAAGCGATTTGTCATTTGGACGAGGCTCACAACGGCAGGCCTTGAAATGGCTTGGATAGTCAAATAAGAGTCGATGCTCTACGTACCCCATGTGCACATCCCATCCTCTTCGTTGGCGAACAGCCCTTGTCCGTCCACTCGGTTGAGCCGATCGTCGACGGCCATGGCACAGACGTGCCATCAGTCCTTGTCTACCTCGACGCAACTCCTCATCAACGAGAGCCGTTGCGAGCAGAAAGTGTGGTGTCAAATAAGCTCGCGAACAACGCAACGGTGTGACAGTTGGCCTGAATATCCAGATCTTTTGGCAGTACTCGTTCGATCTGGGGAAAGCACGTCGGTGTCGCACAGGGCTATCCAAGTCCCGAAAAGCGATGCAAAGTAGGCAGTGCGCGGCACAGACTGTCTGCTAGGCTTGCAGACAGAAACAAAGCTACATATATGACAACCCACAGCACAGGCTGCCGCTTCACCGCTCAACGAAGCATGCAGGTCCTTGGTTCGGAGCTTGCTTCGCAGCCAGCACGAGAACAAATCATATACAGGGTGATGATTCCCAAAGCCCCAAGCCCTACTTGGCAGATTGGCAATTCGACAAAAATCAAGCACAGAAACGAGACAAGGCGGTCACCGTCCAGCCCAAGACGTGGAGCAGCAGCTCAACGTAGGAACTTGCCACTGGCCTGACAGACTCTGCAAAATGGGTAATAGGGGATCTCGGGCCTCCTGTCAGACTGAGATAGAGTTTCCGATGCACTGGCAACAGCCATTTCTGTCGTCAACGCTCGCACAACCTTGACAAACCTAGGTTGTGGGCCATCCGCACCGTGCTACACCCGCGAGAGACAGCCCCTGACAGGAAAGCGGAACAAGACGGTCAACTGGGACTAGTACGGACGACCTCCGACCTGCTAGACTCGGCGGTTTCTATGGCTGTTAGTACACCAGCCCCTCAGCAGAGGAGGAGGAGGAGGAGGAGGGGAAAAGACGAGGGGGTAAAGAGAAAGAGAGACACACAGTGAGCGGAGAGGAGGGGTGTGTAATAATTGGGCAATGGGCCTGGAATGCTCGCTCCGTGCATGTCACGAGAGGAGAGGGACAGGAGCAGAGGAAAAGAAGCCAGACACGAACGAACAAGTCACGAGATATCGAAAGACGAGGCGGTATGCTGCATCAATCAATCGCTACCTATTGAACGACAATGTTTACCGTTGTGTCGTTGTCCCACCTCTGCCAATTCTGAGTTGACACAGAACGACAATGGCGGCCACGACCAGACTCGAGTGGTTATAGTACCTGAGAGGTATCCCGAGAGTAAAGAGTGCAACCACATCTGCGGGCTCGCCCTCAGTCTGCCGCTGCTCCTGGGCGCGGGAGGGTTTCGAACAGGGTTCGCAAGACCGTCCCTCACCTCCCACTGGCTGTTTTGCCTCTTCGGGAACTTCATGGGAGGAGGAATTGCGAAAGCCCAAGCTACGCTGCGTCAGACTCAGAGAGCCACCACCACCATTCACCACCCACACACCACCACCACCACACCCGTCGAGCATCAACCACATGCACACGCACCGCGGCTACCCTACTTGCTCACCTACCTTATGTACAGTGCAAGCTTGACGCTGTCCAAACTTTGTACCTGCTCTGAGTACCCGCAACTCTCCTCCCGACCTGGCCAGGTACGGCGCGCGAAGGACTGGACGCTACCTTGACAAGGACAGGGCAAGGTGTGGTAACGCAATACGGCGCAGGGTACTTTGTCTCCCCTTGGCTTCCAGCCAGTCTCTGAGCGAGAGAGAGAGAGAGAGAGGAACGAGGGGCTTTCTCGTCACTTGAGAGTGTCCGTATGGCCGTTGGGAGCTACCTGCGGTACGGAGTCCTACGCATCTCAGTACGGATATCCTTCGCGGACTTACCAGGGTTCTTTGGGTACCGAAAGCAAACCACCCCTCCGACTTGCAAAGCCGCCCTGGCCTGGCACCTGGTTAGCGAGTGAGATGTGGTGGTTCCTGTCTGTGGTTCCTCTCTCGATGTGGCCCCCGTCAAACTGGGTCCCCCCGTCGATGGCGCAGGGGTATCTTGGGCCGCCGTCTGACCTGCCACGCCCTCTCAACCGTGCTTGTCTCCCACACCTGAAAATCGCTACATTACCTTCTTATGCTCCGAACCTGCTCTTTTCGTTTCTCCCCACGTTGGTCGTCGGTTTCTTACCCAGTTCTCTTTCTGTACACCATCTCGTGTGTCCGTGTATTCCAAAACCCTCTTCAACTTGTCGCTCCTGGCTCTCCAGGGCGCGGCGCGTCAGTTTTATCTGAGTGTATACTCTGTACTGCACCGGGGAAGAATACCACGGGAAGAAAAACCAGGTACGTTCCAGTTCTTTTATTCTCTTTGTGCTTGGCCGGTCGCTGTATCACACCCGCATCGATGTGTGGTAGAGCTTTGCGATTGTGGAAGCAACTGCGCCATGGCGGCAAGAAACACACCACACAAACACGGAGAGAGAGAACATCCGAGAGGAAACCACATTTTCGGCTGCCCTTTGTGTCGTTATGCCGCCAAATCAGCGAGTCAACTCAGTCGGACATCGCAATGCGCTCCCAAAGGCTTCCCAACGACCAAAAGAACGACATCGCAAAGCTGGATGCCAGACAGCACGAAAAGGGGGGGGGGGGGAAGAGGTAGGGATGCCAGGTAGAAGCTGGAGAGGCAACGACAACGGCAGTGACGGTTTCGGTTCGCGATCCAGAGGCCACAGAAGAGACAGGAGTTGCAGGGCGAGACATTCGAGTCTCACTCACGCTGCTCAGCTTCAGCTGCTGCCATGCGTCCACTGCCATCATTCTCCTTGTCTCTTCAGCGCTTCACCGACTGCCGCCCGCATTTGGAGAAGGCCAGGACCAAGACCAGGACCAAGAGGGAACCCCCGGACCAGCACCACCAAACTTCGCCAGTTCCGCACCCCGCCTCCAATTTTCCTTGTTTCCAAAATCACGAAACTCTCGCTCTGTTCTGCTGTTTCTTGCCGCCATGGGCGTCACACGCACCCTGATCGACCGCATTCTTTGATGCTGCCGCCACTGCTTCTTTTGCAACAGAAACACCCCTCCATGTTCATGTCGCTGACCGCCGGCCTTGCTTGATGCCAGCAGTATATAGAAACCGCAGCCACTAGGCCCCTTTGCGCCGTGTACGAATTGTTGGAATAAGCCGAACTATGGACGAGCTGCGCTTCCGATCTCAACAGTCGCCCCGTAACGAATCCACGATGAACACACTTGTCTCACCTCCGCGGAACGGCAACCGCCTCCCGCAGCCTGTTCAGGCTCACGATGGGCGAGGCGCCCTGCCTCGCCGCTTCACTACGGATTCGGGGCGTGTACCAACATTGTCTTCAATCACCGGTCAGCGCGGCCCTGACCTTGGTGGCCCTGATTATAACAACGTACGTTCTCTATCCACGGTGGAATGCTATGCTATTGCGTTCCATGCGCTACTCTCTGTTCGCCATCGCGCGCTTTCCCACAAGAATGCGACTGACATTGTCTTGTCCAGACTTTCCACAAAGTTCAATTGGTATGTGGGCTTCCGCCGTCCCGCTGCAGAACCTTGTTTGCGACGAGACAGTCTACGTGCAGACCCTGCAAAGTTGGAAAACCACAATGACGAAGAACGGTAACTGACTGCTGGACCCAGATCGAGAAGAAGAAGATCGAATATGAGAGACTGCGCGAGCAGAGGCGTCGTTTCGAGATGGAGATGCAGAAGCTGGAGCAAGCGCAGCGCCGCGAGGAGATGGAGCTAGCGAAGATGCAAGACGACCTCCGCCATGGCCATCAGTCGGAGCCCACGACGCCTCCCGAATACCACGAATCGTCCGGCTTCCCCACGATGTTCTCGCGTCCCAACCGCTACTCGACTTCGAGCTTGACCTCGCCTCCTGGCCTCTTCAACCGCCCCGGGCGCTCGGGCTCGCAGCTCACTTCGCCGCACTCCACGGTGATGCAGTCCCGCTTCACCTTTGACGACCATCTGCCTTCCCGGTCTGTGCCTGGATCTCGCAGAAACAGCGATGAGGACGAGAAGGAGGAGGCTGTTCGCCAAGATCCGACTAGTCATCGATCTTCCAACGCGTGAGTGCCGTAATCCGTGCAGTGTGACCAGTATGTTTGCTTCTTGGACAAGTCTTGGGGGTAAGTATCATAACCAAAGGCCGGTAAAGTTTGTTTTGCCAAAGTTGGTAAGGTATGGTATTGTGCCTCGAAGAAACGGACGGCGATGCCCCACAAGTTGGGTTTAAAGGAACGCTCTTGCCTCGGGAAGGTATTTCGATGAGATGGGTTCCTTCCTTGGAGATGGGCAAGCTCCTTCCCTCGATCTGGAAGTCTTGAATCCTCACCCCACACGTCGATAAAAAGGCGAGATTGATCAGCGGTCTCTTCCTTTCCACTTCGACCGTTCCACACCCACACCGCAACCTCAACGCCGCACTCTCCCATTCTCACTCATCATCTACCGACCAACAACAGCGACTTATCCTTTTGAGTTACACCGCAGAACATCACGCACCTGTTCTCACATCTTCACCCCACGCTTCCACGACGTTCAAATCCTTTGTTCCAATCTTACGAATCGCACCTGCCTGCCGAACGCCTCTCACAAAAGAGCGTTCTCACGGTTATCGAAAGCTTGGTTCAAATCGATCGCCAAGGAATATTTGAAGGCCTGCCTTTTTTTCCTTCCAATTTCCGTCGTTTCGTTTCTTCTCGAAGCAAACCAACCGACAACCTAAGACTTGCCCAAGAAGAGCAACGTACTTACCACACAGCAAGCAAAACCTCCAAAAACCTGAGCAATGGCTGACACTGGAATTCCCAACGACAGCTACAACCGCTACTCGATGCCGGTTACGCGCTCCCGCACTGGTCTCTACGGCGCCGACCTCGACCAGACCGGCACTGCTCGCTTCCTCTTCGGCGAGGAGGACGCTTCTGGCGAGAACAAGTACGGACAGGCCACCGGCGACGACAACTTCCCAACTCTGGTTCGTCAGAACGATCAAATGGTAAGTTTGCGCATTTTATTCTTCACATTCACATCACCTCTCTATTCACTTTCCCATAACCTATTTTGCCCTATCATCCAATGCATGGGCAAGTCGGTGCCTACGGTTTTGGTTCTGCCTGCTCAGCAAAAACCGGCCCACATGTTTCCTTTGCCCATGGGTGGTGAAGTGCCACGTCCCGAACCTCACGGGCGGGAAGGTGCGAGCCGCAAGCAACCGCCTGCAGCAGCTGCAGCAGCAGCAGCAGCTTGCTTCAACTTCACCTCTGCCCGTCAGATTCACCCCGCACACCTTGTCCAAAATTCCCACTTCGGTCTTTTTTTTTTTAAATTTTTTTTTAGCCCTCTTCTTTTTTTCGCTCCTGATTCCACCTGTCAACGCGAGTGAAAGAAAGAGAAGGAGCAGACTCTCTCCCAATATCCCTCTTTCCTTTCCTGTTCGTTTACCGCTTGCTCCTTCCTCCCGCCAAGGTCAGAGTTTTGCAGGGAAAATACTGTCGACACAAACCTTCGAAATTGTCAGCCTCCGATCAACTGTTGACAATTGTTTGCGTCGTATAGCTCTCTGCATCATCCGCTGCCCTTGACCTTGCCCTCTCTCCCTCGCCCGCTCCTGACGCGCCGTCCTCCCATGGTTGGGGCAATATTAACCGTCACCGAACCCAACAGAGCTTGTCTGCTATCAACACGTCTTCGCTCAACGGAGCTTCGTCTTCTGGAGAAATCGGCAATCGTTCTTCAGTCCGCCACTCGCTCGACTTGAAGTTTTTCCCGGACGCTCCCTCCGACAACCAGGCTTCCATCGTCTCTCCTCCCGGCAACCACCCCGGTAACCACATCATGGCTACTCCTCCCAAGTTGCAGAGCTCCTTCTCTGCCAACGACGTGCCTACCGTCAAGAGCACTGCAAACGGCGGCCCTGTCACAAACAACCACGCCCAGCAGCATTTCCACAACCACAATGCCAGCATCGGTCGCATTCCCGCTGGCGCTGTTCCCGGCCGCCACAGCCGTGAGCTGTCTAACGACAACAACATGGGCGGCCCTCGCGAGCAGGCTGGTCCCTACCCTTCCATCCAGTCGGCTCTTCAGGCCAACGCAGCTCCTTTCGGTCCCGGTGCTCCGGGTCAAGGCTTCCCTCACACCTCTCAGGGCAACCAGGCTCCCAACGGTACGGCGACTGCTGCTCCCAACAACGGTTACGGGGGATTCTACCCGAGCGGCTACGTCTCGCCCAACAACAACGGTCCTCCCCCCGCCTCTGGCCCTGGCCCCTACGGTGTCCCTCTCTTGGCTATGAGCATGCAGAACATGAACCTCAATGGCAACAACATGTACCCTGCTCAGAACTACGCCGGCTATGGCGCTCTGTACAACCCCCAGCAGCCTCAGCCTCGTGACAGCCAGGCTCGTGTCATTCAACATCGCCGCCAGATGGACAATGAAGGTAAGCTCGACGATCAATCCTATGATGCGTACACATCACTAACATATGCCTGCCTAGCTATGTCGCGCTACAATGGTCTCGCTCTCGAGAACGTTGGTGGCCAGATCTACGACCTCTGCAAGGACCAGCACGGCTGCCGCTATCTGCAAAAGAAGCTCGAAGAGCGCAACCCGGAGCAGGTCCACATGATCTGGTTGGAGACCAACCAGCACGTCATTGAGCTCATGACTGATCCTTTCGGCAACTACCTTTGCCAGAAGCTGCTGGAGTACTGCAACGATGATGAGCGTACAGTGCTCATTCAGAACGCCGCCGTCGACATGGTTCGCATCGCCCTCAACCAGCACGGTACCCGTGCTCTTCAGAAGATGATTGAGTTCGTTACTACTCCGACCCAGATTGAGATGATCATCAACGCTCTTCGCTTCCAGGTCGTTGAGCTCATCCAGGACCTCAACGGCAACCATGTCATCCAGAAGTGTCTCAACAAGCTCAGCGCTCAGGATGCGCAGTTCATCTTCGACGCTGTCGGCACCAACTGCGTTGACGTTGGCACCCACCGCCACGGCTGCTGTGTTCTCCAGCGCTGCATTGACCACGCTTCAGGAGAGCAGAAGGTCTGGCTGATTGCCAAGATCACCGAGCACGCTCCGATCCTTGTGCAGGATCCCTTCGGCAACTACGTTGTCCAGTACATCATCGACCTGAACGAGCCTTCCTTCACTGAGCCCATTGTGCGTATGTTCCAGAACCGCATCGGCCAGCTGTCCCGCCACAAGTTCAGCTCCAACGTCATCGAGAAGTGCCTTCGCTGCTCCCAGGAGCCTTCCCGCGAGATGATTGTTGACGAGCTCCTGAACCCCGGCGAGATTGAGAGACTCCTCCGCGACTCGTATGCCAATTACGTCATTCAGACCGCTCTCGAGTACGCTCCTCCTGCGAGCAAGTACCGCTTGGTCGATGCTATCCGCCCCATCTTGCCTTCCATTCGGTCCACTCCCTATGGTCGTCGCATCCAGGCCAAGATCCAGGCCTTTGAGGGCCGTGGCAGTGCCACCTCGAGCGGTCAGGTTACTCCCGCGGACCCCACTCAGGGCCAGATTCCCCTGCGTCCCGGCCACAACCGCGCCATGTCCAACAACACCTCCATCATCCCCCCTAGCGGTGCCTTTGGCAACGGTCTGAACGGTGGTCTCAACGGTGGTCTCAACGGTGGCGGCATGGCTCCTCGCGGCAACCAGGCCAACTACCCCACGACCAACAACGTCACTGTTCCGCCCCCCGCTCCCCAGAGCCAGCGCATCCAGCAGTTTGGCTTCAACGGCCAGCAGCGCACCAATGGTGGCGCCCCTGCTGACGCGGTTGCGGGCGAGTCTCAGTGGCTGTAATTGTATTCGACGCGTTGTCGACCATTTCAGCCCGTTGAGATTCATCTCCAATGGTACGAAATGTGGCCCGGGCATTCGACAATGAACATAATGGTGGCATGATGCTTTCCGCGTAACGGTTTTCTTTCGACACAGCACGGCGGCTACGCAGCAACGACTTGACGATCTTTTTCCTTTTTCCTGTCTGTGCAATCACCACAAATCATCCTCCAACCAACATACAACACCGCAATCCACCAACCCTCTTCATCCGTCGAGCACGGCGGTCCTTGCATCCGGTTGCAAGGCCTGCTTTGTGTGTACACTATGGATTCGGGCAGCGCATCAGTGCCCACCCTTCGGCATTTGCAGCGCAGACATAAGAATCGCATTCTGCTTCTCGGCAGCCGTCACCAGATCGGGCGGAGCCTCCAATAGGGCTTGTACTTGATTCGATCCCAACATCGACATAGACGAATGCTTTCCTTGCTTTCGAGTTTCTTTTGTTTTTCATCGCCATTTCCCTATTTTCGACTTTTTTTTCCCCCTTCATTCTCGACGCTCGTTCGCCAGGGTCAACTACTGGCCCTTGGTATAATGATTGGACCGGACTCACGACAACATCATCGGCATAATTCCTTGAACGAAACGCCAGTCACGAAGCTGATCATGAGACGCGCAACGATTTCGGGAAGACTTTGGTTTCTTCCTCTACGAATGATGGCCTTGAGGTATACTAAGGGCCTCCCTAGCCTTGCGAACCATCACTTGAGCGTTTCTGCTTCCCCCGAAACGGTCCGACAAGATTATACAGGAGATACCTGACTGCGCACGCATTGCATAGGGGCCAACACTGGGACATGACAGCATCGGAGGCAGTTTTTTTCTTTCTTTTTCTTTTCTCTTTTCTCGCAGGCGGTTGGCACATCGTTTCGCACTTTCGACATGAACTGCGTAGCATGACACCCAGACCTCTCATGGCTTATCTGAAGTGGGAGGATACAACATCGACAATACGGGGATATTCATCAAGGGCTCATGGGCTCTCAGATGTTTGGGGGTTTCTGGAGAGATTCGATTTGGCCTTCTGGAGGAGATTGGAGAAAGGTTTCTTGTGTGTGTAAGAGAACTCTAGGGATGAAAATTGGGCGTTACTTTTTGCTTTTTCTGGCCGGCGGAGAATAAGACGTGTCTGGTGAGGCTTTGGCTCGATTTGCTCATATGCTTTTCAGCAAATGCCCACGACACCCTCCGACCGC